GCTGTGATGGCATTCTCTGCTCGTATGATATAGTCTGTCACGCTCTCGCTCTCAGTCTTCTGAAGCGATGTTAGCTCCGTGTACAGGCTAATAACACGAGTCTTGCCTTTACCAGAGTAGTGCTCTCTTAGTATCTTAAGCGCTTCTCTTCCATTGTCTGTAGCTTCTCTCATCACAAGTGAGAGGCTTCTATCGTCCAAGACTTGAATAAGCTCAGCATAAGCTTCTTCGTTCTTAGCTTCGTGAGAATCTTCATCTTCCTCTTGCTCACCTGGCTCGTTTAAAATGGCCTCCTTCAGCCCGAGCAGCCGCAGGTGTCCCAAGAATTTAGTTTCCCACAGTTCATAATTTCTTTCGTCCCCGTCGAAGCACAATCGGTTCCATCGGCCTCCTCCATCCCTTCTGGGCCCATAACCTGTTGATCGCAGCATTATGAGGGCGGGATAACCGTGGTAACAAGAATCTACTGACGGAGGAAAACACACAACTCATCAGTCTCTTTGACCGGCTCAATCTCACGCATGGAGCGCACCGCGTCATTTATTGGGTACAGACATACACTTCCGGTTTGACCCTTCAGTGTAAGAGCATACACACACACATATATATATATACACAGATACCTACAAGGCAACAAATACCTTATTTAAATGTGGTTTTCTATATGCTGTTGAAAAGACCAAAAACATGGATGTTTTGGCTGGAACTATTATCCTGAGTCTCCTCAGTTCCAGAGTTTGTACAGATTCCACTCGAATAGATCCGTGGTTCCATCGCTCTCTCACGGCTCCGCGGCGCTGGCGCGTGGGCTCCGAAATGACTATATTTCAACAGTTTTGCATTAACAAAGATCTTGTCTTAATAACAATTTTCCCCATGTAATTTCGTTTTTAAATATATTTTTACCCTCTCAAAATGCCACAAGCACACTTGAATTGTTTTATAATTTTAGGATTAAAGTTTCTAAATTCTTCTTTCCCCCAACTAGAAAACTTAATATAGGTAGCATTCACTGTAGTAGCCAATTAACAAAAATATAAATAAAAAGTATTAAATTATGGTATTAAAATGTAGCAAAAATAGCTTTAGCTCACAGTAATACCAAAGACAACCTTCCCAGAAGAAGCTTTGAAAAGATGCCATTTACATGTCAACATTATTTGTTATAAATCATCTTTTATTAAACACATGAAGTCATAAGGTAATGGCACAGAATGTTAAAAGTGGATAAAAAAAGAATAGACATAGAGCCTTGTTTGAAACCCCTGCAGTGTCTCGGTGCCTCACATTGATCTCAGAGACTGACCCAGCTCTGCTCCAGTTTGTCATGATGTGAACTGTTCATATCTGTAAGTTTAATGCTCTGAATGTTATGTTAATGTCACATGTGTTTGCATGTGTGCAAAGCTTACAAACATCCCTAACCATGCCTTTGTTTTAACAATAGATAATGTTGATGCACAATGAAGGAAGAGCTGCCTCCGACTGACAGGAACTCAATCTTCACACCCAAAATACTCCAAATATCCAAGTGGAAAATTCAATGAGATGCTTAAGGGATGCAGGAGATGAGAAGAAGAGCTTCAGGTTTTGAGGATGAGAAGGGTTATACTGTAAAACAAGAACATGAGAACATTAGAGAACAATAAACCATGAAAAGTGAGAACCCTCTTGCTTTAGACAGTGTGAAGTACAGGTGGATTCATAAGTTCAAAGGTTGTGATGTTAGGAGTGAGGTGGCATGTATCCCTCTGTACTCTGTACTTGTACTGCACTAAAGAAAATTACCCTCAAACCTCCACTATAAGCCCTGGTCCCTGTGACCCACAGAGAGCCCTAGTCCCAATGTTTCATCTTGTAGATAATGACTTAAAGCATCAGCTGTGTAACAAACCGGCCGTTCGTTACCTAACCCACACTGCACTTTTGAACATGGCTAGATTGCACATATAAAGACATTGCACATATATTCATGTAAGAATGTTTATTGAGAGGGCTGTGGTTGTCCGTGGGTCCGGTGTGGTGCGTTCCGGGTAGGGTGCCGGTCCTGCGGAGGCAACATGTAATTAGAATTGGGCATAGTGCAATATGTGTAGCTTAAGAAGTGGTAATGTTTTAGTGTTTTGTGCATGCGGTGAATGGTCGGGTGTCTGGGTGCGTGAATGTGTGTGTGAGCGCAGTTTGTTTACCTTGTCTCTTGTGTCCAGGATAGCGTGTCTGACGGAAAGAGTCCGAGGGGGAACGGACGCCGCTAAAACCCGTTCCGGGCTGAACCAAGGGGCAGAATAGGCGGGGGGAGGACTGCAGGGTTGTAACGGGTTTTAGGTCTTGGTTTATTTTGTTCAGTGGTTTGGGTTGGGATTGTGTATAGTGGGGTTTTTTTCTATGTCTTTGTATTTTGGTTGGGGTTTATATGTGAGGGTTGTAGAGGTTGTGAGAGCAAATGTGACATGTGGACACCTGCTTATCTAGAGTGGTTTTATCCAATTTAGAGGGAGGGTATTTAAAGAGTCTCATGCTCTCACTCTGGGTTGGGCTGCTGGATGAGCTACACTGATTGAGTCCTCCCATGCACTTTATTATGGTGAACTTTGCATTTTTTCACACAAAAAAAAAATAATAATTTGAAAAGTGGACCCTCCCCTGGTGTTTGTGTGCCCACCGCCGCCCGCTCGTGCCTCCCTGTTACAAGCTGACTGCACTAATGTAGCTGGTGAGATTGTAAACTTAGTCATTCAGCCAACTTCACTTCTTGGTGGAGACCAGGAAAGACCCAGGACATGTTGGAGGGACTGTGTCTCTCAGCTGGCCTGGCAACGCCTCAGGATTCCTCCTGATGAGCTGGAGGAAGTGTGTGGAGTCTGCTCTGACCCTTAGGGAAAAAAAAGGAAGAACATATTATATTTTGTATGTTTTTCTCATTAATTGACCACTGTGTATGCAGTGAAAGAATAATGACCTGTGAAGCATCTTGAGTGCCCAAAAACTCTACACAAAACCGATTAATAATAATAATAGGGCTTGAATATGTACATTGTTTTAGCACTAGTTTTCAACTATTTAAATAATTAGTATTTAGTCTTGTGACTGTACCAGAGTCTAGATATGAAGTTGTAAATGATTGATTACTAAAATAGTTGATTTTTGAAATTGGTCAAAAAATAGTTGTAATAAGAAACTGATCATTAAATGGTTTATTGAATCTTCGATAGTCTTTAACATGTGAGGAGAGGCTTAGTCTCAGCTAAGTCCATATTGACTGCAGAATGAAAGGAAAATGTGTCTACAATCCAAGCAGGAGTCATCACTTGGGTCAAATGGAGAATGGGTAAAACATTTTTTTATTTTATTTTTTATAACAGCCTTAGTTTCCATTATTCGTTGTCACACAAATAGTAAACTAATACTCAGATCTATGTCTCACTGACTGCAGGAGAACATGGACCAGTGGACTCACTCCTTCACTGTATCCAACAGATCAGTGAGTGGATGCAAAACAACTTCCTTCAGCTAAACAGACAAAACTGAAATGATTGTCTTTGGTCCCCAGAAACAAAGAGAGCGTTATCTGTCACCTCCAGTCTCTCTCCCTAAAACCTTCAAACAAGGTCAGAAATCTAGGGGTAATACTGGACTCAGACTTATATTGTAATAGCCACATCAAATCAGTAACATCAGCAGCTTTTTACCGTCTAAAAAACATTGCCAGGATAAAAAACATCTGCAAAGACTACTGCAATGGCCTGCTCACAGGTCTGTCCAAACAGGCTGTAAAACAGCTGCAGTACATTCAAAATGCAGCAGCTCGAGTCCTGACTAGAACCAGGAAGTACGACCACATTAGTCCAGTCCTCAGGTCTCTGCACTGGCTTCCTGTGGCTCAGAGAATAGACTTTAAAACAGCTCTGCTTGTTACAAGTCTCTCCATGGCCTCGCACCAAAATATATTAGTGACATGTTAGTCCCATATGAACCAGCCCGGACTCTGAGGAGCACAGGGACTGGACTCCTGTTAGTGCCCAGAGTCAGAACTAAACATGGGGAGGCTGATTTTCAGATTCATGCTGCTAAAATCTGGAACAATCCTCCTGAAAGTGTGAGACAGGCCTCCTCTCTGACAATGTTTAAAACCAGGTTAAAAACAGTTCTGTTTAGCTGTGCATAACTGAGGGATTTTATATTTTTATCTTTCTTTTTAATGTACTGCGATTATTTATGATTTTAATGCTTTCTTATACATGTGAATTGTGATATACAAATAAACTTGCCTTGCCTTGCCTAAACAAAATGTGAAAACATTTCTGGCCCCGAAAGACATGGACAGGACATGGAGGTCTGAGGGACATGGACAGGGCAGGTCTGACTGCTAATTTACACATGACGCGTTACAGCTCGTACGCATTATACGCGCAGCAGACGCACATAACTTGTTCCCATGGTAACCAATGTGGATATTTACTACTGTCATACGCGCGTATGACGGACGTAGGACGCGGGGCTGCGCTCTAATTTAGGATTGATTTCTAATTTTGTGCGCGCAGCAACGCGTCTCCCATTGAAATCTCATGTTTAACATGAGTTTTCTAGCGGTCCTTGGCTCTCGATCGCATCTGCACACACACATGACTTGTATATAAACATTAGCAGGAGGAGCAGCAGGTTTTACAGTGATTCTCTCATCAGTCCTCTGGCCCGTACTGTCCTCTACACTGCTCCATAGACTACACAGGGACAGCATCAGAAGCCCCGGACCTGCGCGCACGGCCAGTGTAGATACTGCAAAAAATTACACTCAGTCAACGCTTACGCGCTGTTAACGCCTACTGTGTAAATTCCCTGTGAGGGGCATGGACACAGCAGGTCTTTGCTCCTCCGCTGAAACCATCTATTAGTTTGTGTCTGGATGCACTTATAATTTTGTTCACCTTCTGCAGCTGTGATGATCGGGGTTCTTCAGGAACATGCACATGTGTCATGTCTGGACTTGGCCCCTGTTCTTACTAAGGCCATGTCTGAGACTCCAGTCCTGAAGGAGGAGATAGAGAAGTTAGCACTTCATTGATCACACAGTGGCAGAATTTCACCTGACAGCTGTTGGTTAACTCGTTGTGTGCCATTGACGCACTAATACGGCAATTGCGTTTTTCTATTTTCATGTTCCCAGATGTCCATTATATCTAATATGTATGGGGATTCGCTTGAGAGCATTTTTTAATCGAGCCAGCAGGTGGCAGCAGCGCTCTGGATTGTTTGAAAACAGTTAGATGCACTTATTGTGCCTCGTTTTTCTCAGCTTTTTGGTGATTTCAGTAAAACTTCGCTCTACTCGACTCGACTGGGGATTACTGGGGTTTGTTCCCCAACGACAAGCTAGAAACAAAATTCTTTTTGCTGTTGAATACAGTCCATTCTTTCAGAATCTGGTTTTGGATTCCAGTCATAGTACACAATATATATAGTCTTGAAAAATCTATAAACTCATCAGAAACTGCTGGCAATATGGGAGTACCTGTTCTGAGATAGACACTCATTGCCTACCAGCCTATTATTGTATTTCCATTCAAAAACAAGAAAGGAGCCTGCATGCTGTCCTACTTGAATGGCTTTAAACATGTATAATTTGTAAATACAGTCGACAATGCAAGTAAGGCAGTGTAGGATCTTGTTTTTTAATGCACGGAACACCATTGAGAGGCCCATACACTTTTGAATGAACTCAAGCAGAGCCTTTATTTGAAGAATATCTTGTACAGTTATATGTCTAATCAAACATACCTGACCTATGGTCTCATGGACGGTGGTGCCCGTCTTGCATGTGCTTTGTATGCAGTCATTTCAAAGTATTTACCCTTTTCTCAAACATTAATTGTGATTGATGTCCACCTCGTTTCTTTCTTCCTTAAAAATAACAAAACACAGTTTAATCTTCATGTCCTATTATTGTTAATTCAACAGAGGTGAAAGTATTATAGTAGCAGAGTTTTTTATCCACATAACAAATTAGGGCTGGGCGGTATAAACGGTATAAGCGGTAGACGGTATAAATTTGGCCCACGGTAGAGATTTTTGTTATACCGGCATATTGCGATAGGTCATTATGTCATCAAATTGCGCAGGCTCTGACACCAGCAGAAAGGACCAAAACAAACCGGCATTCAGCAGCATTAGCCTAGCACATTAGCCTAGCATTAGCCTAGCACTATTGGACACCACTGGAAACAGCGAACAACAGCACGGCATTAACACAGTGTTCACTGGAAACAGCGAACAACAGCACGGCATTAACACAGTGTTTCTATCTATGTATTGTTGTCACAGCGGCCCCAGCAAAGGTAAATACACACACAGTAATCACAGTTTAAGAGTCTACCTTTTGGCCAATCGGTGTCAAAGGGGCGTAGGCTCGAAGCGCCAGCGTGAGCCAGCAAATCCATGCGTGTGCCGTGTCCGCAGCATCACAGCAGAAGTTTGGGAAAGTTAGCGTCAGATTCGGACCTCCGCGGTCAATATCTCACGAAAGCTACTTTGTTAAACAAAATTATTTGTGCCAAAATGACCATTTACATCAATTGTTCAAATCCAATGTTGTGTTTTAATGAACATAAATCCATTGAATCATCCAGTTCACTGCAAGTGCAGAGAAAAGCGCTTAGGGAGCGTCAACAAATGTCAAGACCAGCTTTGTAAACGAACAATAGCTTTTACTGAAGTCATGCACCTGCACAAAACTCTCAGACACTATAAATAATGACCATGTCTAACTGCTACAGACTTTGATTTCAACATTTGTGAGTTTTTTATATTTTAAATGAATGCATATGTTTTTCTTTTTAAAAATTGCTTTTACAGTGAATTGGTAAATGGTATTTACTGTAACATACATAAATAATGTATGTTATTTGTCTCTTTATTCGTCTCACAACTGATTTTCTAACTCAAAAAATATATATTAGATTCTAATATATAAATAATTAACAATCTTGACTATTTTATGCAAGAACCTGCTAGACCTATATTGAAATTCACACACCAAATTATACCGCGATATATACCGTCTACCGTCTATGACCCAAATTATACCGCGATATGAATTTTAGGCCATATCGCCCACCCCTAATCTGAGTTTACCGTGACGTATGTAATGCGCCCGAGTGAGTTGTTGGCATTTAGCATTTAGCCTAGCCATCTCCTTTGCCGCTAACAGGGCCTGTGGGGAGTAGCGCCACAATCTTGACCAGCGATTACATTTGCTAAACATTCCTCTTGCTCCTTCCGCGCTCTCTGAGTAGCCGGTTGAAATACGACCGATTGTATTCGCTAACACAGGGACCAGACATGCAGTGCAAACATGACATGTTACATGCAGTGAAATGATGATTGAGTGGAGTGTACGGATGGCTAAGGCCAGGCTACATCAGAACTGACACATGGGACCTTTAATGTTAGACACAAAATACAATGCACGTCCCCTTTAAGTGACTGTCTTTCAACAATCAGCATCAGTCTCACTCCGAGCATCAGGAGACACTGTACCACATCAGCTTTCTTCTATCTTAAAGGGACAGTACGTAAGATGTGTTTATTTTAAATCTTTTATCTATCGACACATTTAAATCATGTTTGGCCTTTTCTGATCCAAATGTGAATATTCTACCTTTTAAAAACAGACCATGTTTATTGTTAAACAGATGATCCAATCAGAAAGAGCTTCTCATTGATGTTGCCAGTTTCTTTGGTGAAATCCAGTGTTTGGTCACTGAACATCAGTAATCACTGCTGCAACAGCAGGTGTGTGCTCTACAGGCAGGACACTGGGTCTGATGTCTAGTTTTACAACATGTCAATATTCTACCCAATCCTTTGTATTTTAAATACTTATTCTGCTCTAGATTTGACTTTTAGACGACTTCTTTTTCTCAGATCTTTTATTTTTAAATATGTGAACTGTGTTTTCTTTGTTCTTACGGCTGAGCAGCTCGGCCACTCGCCCCTCCCCCATCCTCTCCAGGAAGTGCAGTGCGATGGTCAGGAGGGCCTCTCTGATGAGCTGCTCCTCCGCCACTCTCTCTGAGCATTCTGGGTAATCTGAGTTCAGGGCCCGGTGGAAGCTCTGCAGCTGCTCTTTGGCAAAGTCCAGGACCTGCTCCTGCAGCCGCTGCAAACACACAAACTCAGTCAGAACATAACCTCACAGACACTGTGTTTGTGTACTGACCGTGAAGACTGGGAGCAGTGGGTCTATACCGAGTTGATCCGTGCTGCTCTCTGCTCTGGGGACACAGTCAAAATATAGAAAACACCAAAGAAACAAACTATGACTCATTACTTTCATTGAATGTTGTTGTAGTAGCAAAAAGAAAAGTTAAAACAAGTTTGTTAGAATCAGGCACATGTTTATTGATGCCACAACACAGCAGCCACTAAGACTTTCTGACAGTTTTCAATCAAAGGAAAAGGCAAGTTTATTTGTATCGCACAGTTCATACAAGTGCATAACACACTCAGGAAGAGTCCTATATCCTGTGTTTCTCTGCTTTTAATCCTGTTATTACATCCTCACTAATGAGTCATTTCATCACTAAAGTTTATTGTGGAACAAAGTAAACTTTGCCTTTCACCAATGAAAGCAGGGAACGACCTCAGTAACGCCAGTACACGCTGGAGGCCTCTAGTAGATAATAATAATAATAATAATAATAATAATAATCACAATGCATCAGTTTTATACAGCACTTTTCTGGAAACTCAAAGACACTTCACGAGTCATATTTCTTTCACTCCATACACAGTGGTCATATGAAACTATTGTAGCCACAGCTGCCCTGGGGCACACTGACAGAAGCAAGGCAACCAGTCTGTGCCATCAGCCCCTCCGACCACCACCAACCATTCACACACACACCAGACTTATCCTAGGCAATGTGGGTGAAGTGTCTTGCCAAAGGACACAACAACAGTTTGTCACTTTACAGCCGCAGCTGCCCCACTGTGGCACCTGTTCCCAGAGGTCTCCCATCACAGTACTAACCAGGCCCTGCCCTGCACAGCTTCAGAGGTCTGCAGGATCTGTCTTTCACATGAAGGTATGGCCACATAATCCATAATGATCCACTGGAGAGAGGGAAGTTCAGCTCCAACGCTTCAGACCTGAGTTGGTTTAAGTCTGATTTAAATCCAGTTAGAATAATCTACTACTTTAATGGATCTATAAGTTGATGTTAGTCCACTTACTCCTGTCCTTTTCTGATCCAAACTCAAAAAGTCACTTCTGAAGCAGAGACTGAGCACTTCCAGTGGAGACATGATGTGCATCAGTCCAGAGACTACGACCATCCAAACAAGTGTAGATGAAGTTGAAGTGCACTAAATGATGGTGTGGATCAGTAAAGTCAGAGCGGACATTTTGAGGCAATACTTCTATACACTCTGTTGTTCTCTGTGCCACTGGTGGAGAGTGTTTCTGATCTGGTTTAACCGTGCTGCCACTTACCCCATGTTCTCAGGTGGACTGTTCTTAAACTCTTCGTCCCAGTCTTTAGAGCTGTCACTGAGGCTGGAGCCACAGCTCAGAGCAGGGTGAGGGTTCGAGTCCCTACAGTCAAAGAGTCTGTTCAGAGCATGTTACAGTGGAGCACACACTCAGGAACAAACTCACCTTTTAAAGTCGATTATCAACCCTTTGGACCTGTCGCTCTTCAGAGACTCACAGCTGGGACCATGATCAGGTCCAGAACTGGACTTTCTTTTGGTCTCAGATCCAGGTTTGACCATTGTCCTCCTGAAGAAAAGTAAATGGATCCATGAAAACTGGAGAATGATGAGCCCAATAAGGAAGGTAGATGTTCTACTCCTTTATTTTGCTAAAGTCAGAGTTGTTTGTTCTCATTATGCCAGAGATAGAGATTTTATACTTGTTTCTTCGTCATAACAGAGTTAGAGATTTTTATTTTATTTGATTGAGTATATAGTTATTGTTCATTGATCTTGTGCCATGTGCTCCTCATTCCTACTGTTCTGTAACTGCTGATGCAACACTGACATTTCCCCACTGTGAGACTAACAAAGGATCTCTTCATTCTATTAGTCGACTATTTCATTTTAAATTGTGATTTTTAAAATACATTTGAGGAGGATTGTAACTATTGTACATGTTTTTAGGGGAAGATGAAACCGGAGCACCTGGAGGAAACTTGCGCAGACACAGAGAGAACATAATAAAGTGTATGAATATGAGAGTGTGTGTGTGATAGTAATGTTTGGACTGTATTTTATATTGAGTGAAGCTGAAAAAGACTGTCCATCAGTCTTACTGTAATCATCTCCATCCTGTCCAGGACTACGGCTGGAAACGAGCAGATTTACTAAAACCTGGCACAGGACATCGTTTCTTTTTATGAGACGTTTGTTTTTGTGCTTTGTCCCAGATCAAATAAATACATTCAAACAAACCTTTTAAAGTAGAGTATTGGATCTTTGGACCTGTCGCTCTTCAGAGACTCGCAGCTGGGACCAGGTCTGGTTTGAGATCCAGATTTGTCCAGTTTCCTGAAGATGATTTTAAACAGTTAATATTTATACATGATTCTTTTTTTAACACAAATCCACACATAGAAATGTAAATGTGCATTATGCTTGTTCTCAATAATAATAATTCATCAGTCTGTTTCATGGTGCGACAATGGGACCCCTGAACCCGGCCCCCTCCCTCTGCACCTGCGGACTGCCCTCCCCTCCTGGGAGCTGCTTCAGTCCTGCACCGGACCTGTCCTCGTTCTACAACCTGAGACCTGAGCTGCGTGGCCTTGGTCCTCGTTCTGTAGCTTAGGTCCTGGATCTACAGCCCGTCCGTGTGGATCCCTCTCTCAATGTGGGTCACCCCGAGGTTTCTCACTTTTCTCCCACTGGGTTTTAGAGTTTTTCCTCTGATGCAGGAGTCTGTCAGACTGTTAGTGTCCAACAAGAAGGACCGTGATGATCCAGGACACTACATTCTACAACATTTATGGACATTTATCATTTATGGACATTAGTCTCACCATATGGACCAACACATATGTGTTCTATATTTTTTGTGTCTTAACTGTGGATTCTCTGATCGTTGGTGATTTCAATGGTTTGTTAAAGTCGTCTGAGATAACTACTGTTGTGATTTAGGGCTATACAAGAATACATTGAATTAAACTGAAATTCACTTAAAAGTGGAATTTTATAGAGTTAAAAAGAAATTCCAAGGTAAGCCTGCTGTAATATATACTGTAAATATTAATATTCATAAAAGTATCGTTCAATCAGGAGATAAATGAGTATAAGTTACATGTAAGGACATTTATGGACATTTGTCTCCCACTCCCTCTGGACCAACGGCTCCTCTGTGTTTGTTATTACTGCATTTCCTGTGTTCAAACTGTTTGATTCTCTTATCCGTTTTTGAGGAATCAACAACTTTGTAAAGTCCTGGAGACGACTGCTGTTGTGATTTAGATAAATAAATAGAATTGAGTTTCAAGTCCTTTTCGAGCAGACTCCAGCTCAGGAGGCCCGAATGCAGAGCGGCTGGTTCTCTGTGATTCCAGGAGAGATTCAGACTCAGACAAACATCAATCCTAAAACAATGTTTTCTCTTCATGTGGATCTTTCTACATTTTAAACTAAATCATTATAATCTATTTGAATGTTTTTATACTGATTAAATCCAATTGTGCGAAAGAGTGAAAGGTGAAGAAAGAGGAAAGCACAAGCTGCTGGTCTCTGGCTCAGTCTTCTCAAAACAGTGAGTTCAAGTTTAGGAGAAAGAACAAGTCTCTGCAGCTGTTGTGGAAGAGAATTCTCAACTCAAGGCCGTCTGCTCTTATCTCTCATGGGAGACACACATGCACTAAACTGTGCACGAGGAGAGCATCACTGAGGCTGGACCATAGACTGTAAAAATTAACGGACGTAGTCATGCCCATATTTGGGCATCATCTGGTCCTCCCGGTTCTGTGCCGTGGACGAGCTCCCATGATGCAATGTGCCAAATACGTGTGTGGCGCTCATGCAATGAAGGGTTCTGCCGCGCTCTGACCAGAGCTGCTGATCAGAGCGGGAAGAAAACAAGCAGAGTTTGTTGCATTAAAATGTGGATTTATACAAAGCCGAAGGTTTTAAGAAGAAAAACAAGTACAAGGACGACAAGGGACACAAAATCCCCACAAAATCCAACCTTTATGAAAGCCGTAGATTCTCTGTCAGCTTCCCATAGAACATCGAGTTCTATGGGACATTTTTCTGGGTAGCACATTTAGTCTGCCGTACCACAGCGCCCCCTGTGTCCATTGGTGGGACAGCTATAAGCTAGTAATACTCTATCCAGATATTATTACAGATCCATGGGCTGGACAGAGATGAAGACACAACGTGAGGGAACCCTGAGCCAGGGCTGGGGCCCCTCGACCCAGAGCAGACAGGAGACAGAAGCGAGAACACACACACAAGACTTTTGGGACTAAAACTGCCCTGATTGGAGCAGGACAGAGGCCCATCTCACATTTGTTACATCTACAACCTTTGAAATCCAGGATGATGGTCTGAGTCCAAACAGTCAAACAGAATATGTTCAGAGCGTGTTACAGCGGAGCACACACTCAGGAAGATACAAACCTTTTAGAGTCCATTATCGCCTCTTTGGGCTCGTTGCTCTTCAGAGACTCACAGCTGGGAATAGAAGCCGGTCTAGATTTTGTTTTGGTTTTAGATCCAGGTTTTTTCTTTGTCTTCCTGAAGAAAAGAAATGTATCTGTGAAAACTGAAGGAGAATGACGAGCGAATACAAAAGTAAAGATCCACATAAAAGTCAAAGTGAACACATTATTAAAGTTTCAAACCTTTCAGATGTTTCCTCAGAGCGACACAGAGAGCTCAGATCAGAGGCTCCATTATCCCCAAAATGTAACAGTGCACAGGGAGAGCAGAGGTCTGTGATACAAAGAGGAATTATAATAGTTTAAAAATACATTACCCACAACACACAACGTTATACATGTCACACAGACAACCACAGCCTCAGTCCTGGATCTACAGCCTGGGTCCTGGGTCTACAGCCTCGGCCCTGGGTCTACAGCCTCGGCCCTGGGTCTACAGCCTCGGCCCTGGGTCTACAGCCTCGGCCCTGGGTCTACAGCCTCGGCCCTGGGTCTACAGCCTCGGCCCTGGGTCTACAGCCTCGGTCCTGGGTCTACTGCCTCGGTCCTGGGTCTACTGCCTCGGTCCTGGGTCTACAGCCTCGGTCCTGGGTCTACAGCCTCAGTCCTGGGTCTACAGCCTCAGTCCTGGGTCTACAGCCTCAGTCCTGGATCTATGGGCCTCCCTGAGGGTTTTTCTCCACAGGAATCTCAGTTGTTCTTTGCCGATGCAGAGGACAGTGGGTTTGAACTTGATTCTCTGATGTGGAGAAATCAACAACTTTGTAAAGTTCTCTGAGACGACTGGTGTTTAAATTAGGACTACACAAAACTAAATGGACTTAACTATGGCTGTAAGAAATAAGAAAATCAAATAGAAAACACGATTTGAGTGTTTTTAACATGAGAGATGTGAAAATGAGACTCAGAGACCTGTAATAAAGCAAACAGGTCAGAATACATGTAAACTCGTATGAACCTTTTAGCAAGTGCAGCATGAGGAAGAGTCAGTGGTTAAAAAGCCAGACATACTGTAGGAAAATAAAGTGCGTAGGTCCTGAGAAGAAATGGGAGCGGCCTGTGACGATTAACTTTACTGTTTGTTGGAAAACGACGACGAAAAACTGATTAAAGAGGAGTAAAAGTGACTCAATGGGCCTCAATCTCAATGAACTGTGAAGATATTTGTAGTTTTAAAAGCCCAGGGTTAAATAAAAGTGCGTAGACTGAAACGGGAGCGGCCTGGTCAAAGGTGAAGGAAAATAAAGTGCGTCACAGAAATTGTTACAAATGTTATAAAGATGTTTTCTTCATCTGAATTAAATATAAACTACTATTCTACTTACGCAGACGTGGCCAGAGACGTGTTCTCCCCAAAAGGATCTTGACGACGCAGGGTTTAGTTGAATCTTCGAGGGTAGTTGCTAAAGCGAACCCAGCCTAGACATTTACTTTCACTTTCGTCTGAAGCGCGGTGACGTCACCACGCTGCTCTGACACGTAGCTGCTGTTGTTGCTGCCTGATTCTTACTGAAACACATTCATCATGATTTTAACTGAATAAATGAGGGGTGTTCTTTGGATGTATTCAAATGTTTTGTGTAACGTTTAAATCCGGGTTAAAAACAGTTCTGTTTCGCTGTGAATACAACTGAAGGAAGGATCTTCTTCTTTTAATGCTGTGATTATTTATGATGCTAATGCCCTTTGTGATTTTAATAAGTCTTTTCTGCATTTTGTATCAAACGCTACAAATAAAGATTGATAATGTACATTAATGGCAGTATTCTGTCTCTGGGTAAATATCAATAAGAGGAAGTGAAAAAAGAGCATGATGAAATGCTACCTTCGAGTTTCTTCTTCACAAAACTGACAATTTAATCACATTTGCTGTTTTGGAATAATGATTGAAGTCGATTTAGTGTTTGGAATATGGAGTGTGTTTCTGCCCCAGAGGCTGTGTCCCTGTGAACAAAAGATCTCTGGGAAACATTCAATAACAACAACAATAATAATAACAACAACAATAATAATAATAAGTATAAACCTTTTTAGACTCTCGATGATAATTCACAAATCATTATTTATTCACTCAAAACACGGTGGTGATAAACTACTGTAGCCACAGCTGCCCTGGGGCACACTGACAGAAGCGAGGCAACCAGTCTGTGCCATCAGCCCCTCCAACCAACACCAACCATTTACACACACACACACACACACACACACACACACACACACACACATACACACACACACACGCACACACATACACATGTACACACACACACGCCCGCACACACAGAGTTCATCAAAGTTGTTTTCAGTTTTGTTTTATTGAACAAAAGTCTTCAAAGGTTTTAGGAAATACATTATAATACAAGTGTGTCACCATGGCAACAACTGATGACACTGAAACAAGTCTTAAGCCCAAACTCAACTATACCGCAACTTTCAGAATGTTTTTGTCTTTTTAAAAACCTTTTCCATCTTTACAGAGACACAAACAGTGAGGAGATGGTCCAAAAACAAGCAGCTGCTGAAAGACTGGAAGAAAAATCTGCTCTAAACTGAACGGCATTCTGGGAAATGTAGGACAAAAGGGAAGGAAAAGAGGCACAGCAGATGTTTATTGGTACATTTCCTATTATTCTGTACATAATCTGGGCCTAAAGCATATGATGTGCAACGTCAACATGTATTGGTTTGTATAATTCACATTTGAACAGAATTATTTTACTTGATTCAAAGTTTGACTCAAGATTTAGACAGAACCCATTTTAATCTCATGATGAATAAAGAAGCAGGTATTGACGTTATTAACACAATTCTACAGAAGAAATGTAAAAATGACCACAATCATCTTTATGGAGAGAACCCAGTGATTTGTCTGTTTTCTGTTATTGTAAGATTATATCAAACATTCATGGAGAAAGCAACATCTTAACGGACCTGTGACTGCAGAGAAAATACAAAGCTAATTTGAAGCTAATCAAGTAGCTATCAGTCCAATGAGGTTCAGTTGCTCCTCTGATAGATTCTACAAGTTGGTTCTTTGTTTAAGACCAGAGTGTTTTTTTCATTCCTGACACTTTTGCTGGTGCACAGTCTTCCTCCCAGTGTTGTGTTGCTTGTGTGCTAAAGCGTACACACAAGCAACACAACACACACAGCAAGAACAAGAGACACTCAGATCTGCCATCTCCGACCAGTGTAAAAGAGAGAACCACATTATGGATCGGGACGGAGCAAGTATCATAGTGGCTGAGGACAACAAACACGACGCTGGATCAAAGAGGCAATAGAAATACGGGAACGCGCCCTCAGGACTATAAACCGGGACGAGGGGGCTTCTTTACTCTAACACAGCTGGGATTCTGTCCTGAAGAAGTCGTACAGCAGATGGCGCTGTCGTCCTGCCTCTGGTGGTAGAAAGACAGCGGCAAAAACTGAGGAAGACTGCAGTCACAAGTGTCAGGTATGAACAAAAATGAATCAAATTGTATAAATAACTATCATTTTGTAAGAACAGACCAGATGATGTGAATAGGGCAGAATCAGCCAGTTGGGAGTTCTCACTGGGGGTGGTTTACATATTTTTAAGGAGAAACGGGATTAATAAAAGCAACACAAACTGTATGAAGTGAAAGATAATTATATTTAGTTTGGGTATTACAGTCAAAGGAATAACATCTCAGAGGAAATAAGCATCTATCCGACTATCCAACATGACATTACACAGAGCATTTGTTTTTCCATGCTCAAAAAGACAAAATATAGCTTCATGAATAAACGTTTGTGGCTATATTTAAAGAGGCGCAGGTAATCATGTGGCTCGCTGCCATTGAGATGTTATTGCTTTGCTTGAAATGTACCTTAGCATGATATAAAACTTGTACAGTATCTCAACACAGATGTTTTCACTGCAGCACCTGAACTCTTACATTGGCTCTGCTCGGCTCTCCGCAGATTCCACTTGTGTTGTTGCCAATGTGGGTTAATACTCTGGAACATTCCAAGTCAAAGGACATTGAGAAGGACCCAAGACAACAACAAAAAACAGTGTATTTTTAAAGCCAGAGTACCCAACTTTAAAAGAAAAACAGATGAAGAATGGAGCTGCTGTTTTCACATTTCACCAGTTGCTTATTTTAGGGCCTCTGTCACATCTTTACATCATCATTCTTTGACAGAAAAGTGAGAAAGAGCACCGCCCTCACTCGGCCAATCAGCTCTCAGCCCAAAGAGTCAAAAAGAGACTCACAGGGATCTTTCTGACAGCTGTGAAAATGTTTGATACCATTTTAAAAAAACAACATAATGGTCTGATTCCTTCACAAAATGTGGCTTTTACAAAACGCTTTCTGTCGGGACAAAACAACGTGTGTTATTCACCAGGACAAAAAGTTAGGTCTCCCAGCTTTAATTTAGCCGCCAATGAATTCCCAAAGATGACAGATTGTAACAAGAGACATTTCTCGACACAAATACAAAACAGAAGGAAAAGGAAGACTTTGTGAAACTTGAATGAAATACAAAACGGAAGACGAAGCCTTCATTTCCGACTTTGAAGTGAAACAAAATGAAATGCATTTGTACATTCTAAACAGCCTCACCCAAGTGCATATTTGTGTGGTGTCCCTGGGCAAGACGCTTCTCCCACGTCGCTCACTGAAGTCACAATATGTACAGCCAACTGCCACAGGAATGATCATTATCAAGTGTGGAAACCCAAATCGGACATGGATTATATGGAAAAGAAGCGGCGGACGTCTAAAATACAGACGTTAAAATGAAAGTTCAAATGTGGACTGAAGAGCAGTTCAAATAGTCTTTGTAGTCTCTCATGATCAGCATCAAATCACAGTGTAGACCCAAAATAGTAGTGAACATGTACGAGTCACCTCCTCAGCTCTGGTGCAACTGTTTAGCCTCAAAGGAAACATGCGGCTATGACATCAAAACAAAACGAATCATTATTAAGACAAAAACATGGATATTCCACTTTCCCACTGCATTCGCTCGATTCGGGCTTACGTCACATTGCGGCAAGATCTGGACAAAGCTTTTTTCTCTTGGATAATCTTTCATGCATTGATGGAGAATAGACTATGGCACCATTGAGAAGACAAACACTTGAATATGGTAAAGTGAAAACGCTCTCTTCATTTATTCACTTTTAATAAATGTGTGAAGAGCTTTGACTGGACTTTATTTCCAACAATGTTCTGGTAGTTTTCCTGAGAATGTGTTTTCGACTCTGTACTTATGGGAGGACAGCTCTGTTCAGCTCAGCATCGCTCCCATTTCTCCTTCTCTTTGTCTGGGTTTATTGTCTCCGTCACAAAATGAAGACCATTTTGTTGCAGAATTGTGCTGGAAACGAGTCGGTTTTTACAGACACTGGTTTCAGTAAATGTAAATAATTAAAACAATCAAAAATATGTCATTGAGTGTAATAAATCTAGATAAAGTAACGGTTGTTTTCAGAATGGATTGTTTAATGATTCCCAATATTCTCATGTTTTGTGCCTTGTTTTGCATCGCCAACACGCTCGACATATTAGAATATTGTGAACAAGTGAAAAAGGAGAAGATTATCTGTGTGTCTATAGTGCCTCTGGAAAGTACTAATACACAAATACAGAAAAGTCCAAAGTGGGGCGTACAGCATTTTTCTGAGTGTGTAAAATGTCCTGCTGAATGTTCACACTTTGCCCTAACCTTGAAATAAAAGCCATCTGTGTGTAATCTCCTCTCAGTTTAACTACAGCTGTTCTGTGAGGGCCTCAGAGCCTTGGAGCCTCACTAAACAGCATCATGAAGGCCAAGGAGCACAGCAGAGAGCTCAGGGATAACGTTGTGGACAAGTTTGAAGCATGGTCGTGTTATTCACACATTTACAAAGCTTTCAACGTCTGTTTGACATTTCCTCTGTTTTCATTCTTTTTATTTTATCCTCCTGAGACCCGAGCATTTGTCTGGTGTGCATTTTATATATTTTTTTGCTATTTAGGATAAGTAGGACCCAATAAGTATAATACCTAAATTGTGATTTTGTACAGGAAGTAGTTTTTGAGAAAAAACATGTCCTCTTATGAGGACAGTGGGTCTCTCATAACCTAAAGAAAAAATGTATGCTCTTTGAGGCCGGAAGGTCCTAATTAGTTGAAATTCAAAATTTCAGCTTGATCCAATTAGTACTTCTCTCAAAAATCAATGTCCTCATATGAGTACAGTGGGTCGACCTTACTATACAATACAAATAGACTCCATTGGTCTAAAATAGTATATAACAGTTTATTTGAAAAATGTAAACATCAAAGTTAGACATAAAATCCAAACAGCTCTATCTTCAAAGCCTAAAAATGTCATGGTGTGGACATTTTGACCTGGTTGAGTTTGAATCCTGCCTGTCCTGTTGATTGTTGCCCCGCCCTAATGTGATTCACCTGTGTGTCCCTGTGTGTGTATATATACCCTGTGCCCTTCCTCTCTTGTTGTCCGTCCATTGTCTCCACCACGTTTGTCCTGGCTTCAGTTCTGTTTTTACATTACCTTGGATTTATTTTATTAAATTACTTTGATTTTCAGTCCTGCAATTTGGGTTCCCTTGTTCTTCATTCATCCACATGACAAAAAATTGGCTATACATAAATAAAACTAAAATAGCTGGTGCTATGAGACTTGGGTGGCATCTCTGACTGCCACCCCCCTGACCCAGAAATGGATTAAAGGGAAGAAAATGGATGGATAAATAAAACTGCAAAATACTGTGTAAACTGTCTATTTCAAGCCTTCAATATGGCTGAATTGAATTGATAAATACAATACTGGAACAAATAATGGCAAATATTATTAACAGTCCTACAACAGTAAAATTCTGCTGAACAGCTTTTGAACCGGGGCTTTTTTCAAACTAGCTCCCTCTCTTTTTCTAGAAAGCAATCTGCTTTGGAAGAGCCCTATTGGCAAGTGTGAAATGCTGCAAAGCAGTTGCGTTCACTTTGCAAGCACAGGTACACATTGCATGTCATGCATCGGACACAGGATTTTCCAATGCAGTCTTGTGCTCTGCAACGCATGGGGTTTTTCAAGGCTACCATCTCCGGGTTAGGGTTAGGGTTACAATATCCCCAGTCGAGGTCAGCAGCTCTCCACCCGCACCATACACGGTGTTGGCAAAGAACTGCTTCCCCCTCCTGAGGCGCCGGAGGGTTTGCCAGAACCTTTTTGAGGCCGACCGATAGTCATGCTCCATGGACTCTCCGAAGTCCTCCCAGTCCCGGGTTTTTGCCTCTGCAACAGCCCGGGCCGCGGCACGCTTGGCCTGCAGGTACTGGACAGCTGCCTCAGGAGTCCCACGAACCATCATTGCTCGATAGGACTCTTCAGCCTGACGGCATCCCTTACTGCCGGTGTCCACCACCGGGTTCGGGGACCAGCACCAGAGACCTTGCGACCACAGCTACGAGCCGCTTTATTGGCGATAGAGGAAGAGAACATGGTCCACTCGGACTCAATGTCCCCCTCCTCTGGGTCCTGGGAGAAGCTCTCCCGGAGGTGTGAGTTGAAAGTCCGTCTGACAGGGGTCTCAGCGAGACGTTCCCAGCAGACCCTCACTACACGCTTGGGTCTGTCAGGTCTGACCGGCTTCCTCCCCTGCCAGCGGATCCAACTCACGACCAGGTGATGATCGGTTGACAGCTCCGCCCCTCTCTTTACCCGAGTGTCCGAGACACGCGGTCGAAGGTCGGATGATACGACAACAAAGTCGATCATTGACCTTCGGTCTAGGGTGTCCTGGTGCCACGTGCACTGGTGGACACCCTTGTGCTCGAACATGGTGTTCGTGATGGACAGACCGTGACTGGCACAGAAGTCCAACAACTGAACTCCGCTTGGGTTCAGATCAGGGGGGCCGTTCTTCCCGATCACCCCTCTCCAAGTGTCACTGGCATTTCCCACATGGGCGTTGAAGTCCCCCAGGAGAATAACAGAGTCCCCGGGCGGTGCACTGACCAGTACCCCTCCCAAGGACTCCAAGAAGGCCGGTACTCGGCACTACCGTTAGGCCCGTAGGCCGTCACAACAATGAGAGACTTGTCCCCCACCCGGAGGCGGAGGGACGCGACCCTCTCATTCACCGGGGAGAACTTCAACACGTGGCGGCTGAGATGGGGGGCAATGAGTATGGCCACCTCAGCTCGCCGCCTCTCCCCGCTGGAAACTCCAGAAGCTGACTGACAAGTATGAGATGATGATACAATCATCCCCATCTGAGAAGTCATAGAGGAATTCTCAGAGTTGTCTGCAATTGCCAACAGCAATTGTTCTGCTCTTGATAATGAAAGTGTGCCTGTAATGATAATTTTAAAAACCAACATCAAAATCTACAGTATATCAGTGACACATCATAGCTTGGCTATCATGTGCTAGCTATAGCCTAGCTATATTGTTTATGATTAAGCATTTAGCAACACTTCACAATACTTAGCATATACCACTTAGTACTTAAATATACTATTTACAACTGTAAACCACATAACTGAGCAAATGTGTGATTCAAAATAACTATTTACAACTGTAACTTCATCTAAATCTTCCACACGGTTAGCTAAACAGATAGCGGTACATAGTCCTAGCGTCCTCAAACGAGTGCTTCACTTTTACTGACATCCTAGCCTGCTACTACAATCAACATTTTTCAAATTTCAAACTCCATATGAAGCTAGAGACATTATTGTGCATAAATAAATTGATTTCATTCATAAAATGTTGATAGAATTTTTACCTGGGGCATTTTTCTTCTGTGAACTCTTGTAGAAGTCTTTTGCTGATATTTCCGCCATTTCTTTCCTACTGCCTTAAGTGTAATTCTATCATATCACCACAAGATGGCGCGGGCAGTGTCCCTAAATGTGGCCATCAGGTCAAGGATGTAAAAAATTGAGTATCATTGTGCCAAGAGGCAAAAATGTAATGTCCTCGTATGAGGTCGCAGGGTCTCAGGAGGTTAAATCATGTGTTATATTGGATTTTAATATTATTACTTTACTTAATAATACTTTACTGTTTACTACTTTGTCCTGGTGTGGACTTTTTGATTCATTTGTTAATAAAAAAGGATTTATTTTGATGAAATTTGTTTTTTTTCAGTGTTTCTTCATGTCTGCTCAGTGTGTCCCTGTGTGTCTCTGTGTGTCTCTGTGTGTCCCTGTGTGTCTCTGTGTGTGTCTCTGTGTGTGTCCCTGTGTGTCTCTGTGTGTCCCTGCGTGTGTCTCTGTGTGTGTCCCTGTGTGTCTCTGTGTGTGTCCCTGTGTGTCTCTGTGTGTCCCTGTGTGTCTCTGTGTGTCCCTGTGTGTCTCTGTGTGTCCCTGTGTGTCTCTGTGTGTCCCTGTGTGTCCCTGTGTGTGTCCCTATGTGTGTCCCTGTGTGTCTCTGTGTGTCTCTGTGTGTCCCTGTGTTTCCCTGTGTGTCCCTGTGTGTCTTTGTGTGTCTCTGTATGTGTCTCTGTGTGTGTCCCTCTGTGTGTCCCTGTGTGTGTGTCTCTGTGTGTCTCTGTGTGTGTCCCTGTGTGTCTCTGTGTGTCTCTGTGTGTCCCTCTGTGTGTCCCTGTGTGTGTGTCTCTCTGTGTGTGTCCCTGTGTGTCTCTTGTGTGTCTCTGTGTGTCCCTGTGTGTGTCTCTGTGTGTGTCCCTGTGTGTCTCTGTGTGTGTCCCTGTGTGTCTCTGTGTGTCCCTGTGTGTCTCTGTGTGTCCCTGTGTGTCTCTGTGTGTCCCTGTGTGTGTGCCTATGTGTGTCCCTGTGTGTCTCTGTGTGTCCCTGTGTGTCTCTGTGTGTCTCTGTGTGTCCCTGTGTTTCCCTGTGTGTCTTTGTGTGTCTCTGTATGTGTCTCTGTGTGTCCCTCTGTGTGTCCCTGTGTGTGTGTGTCTCTCTGTGTCTCTGTGTGTGTCCCTGTGTGTCTCTGTGTGTCTCTCTGTGTGTCCCTGTGTGTCTCTGTGTGTCTCTGTGTGTCCCTGTGTGTGTCCCTGTGTGTCTCTGTATGTGTCTCTGTGTGTCTCTGTGTGTGTCTCTGTGTGTCTCTGTGTGTCCCTGTGTGTGTCCCTGTGTGTCCCTGTGTGTGTCCCTGTGTGTCTCTGTGTGTCCCTGTGTGTCTCTGTGTGTGTCTCTGTGTGTCCCTGTGTGTCCCTGTGTGTCCCTGTGTGTCCCTGTGTGTTTCTGTGTGTCTCTGTGTGTCCCTGTGTGTCTCTGTGTGTCCCTGTGTGTCCCTGTGTGTCTCTGTGTGTCCCTGTGTGTGTGTGTGTCTCTCTGTGTGTGTCCCTGTGTGTCTCTGTGTGTCTCTCTGTGTGTCTCTGTGTGTCGTTGGTCCCTGTGTGTCTCTGTATGTCCCTGTGTGTCCCTGTGTGTCCCTGTGTGTCCCTGTGTGTCCCTGTGTGTCGTTGGTCCCTGTGCTCCTGTCCCTTTGTTCTTAGTCCATTGTGTTTTTCTTCCTGTTTGGTCTTGGTTTGAGTTTGGAGTTCTGAATCCTGAATGTAGTTATTGTTGTGTTTTTGTGAATTAAATCTTATATTTTTGTCAGTTGTGCATTTTGGGTCCTTCCTCCTTTTTGAAACGTGACATACTTTACTCTACACTACTTTACTTTATCCTACTATATACTCTAGTGTCTTTTTTATGGCCTGTGCTGCTCAAATGAAGTGAATGTGAAAACTCTTTTTAAAAGTCTCTTCTCATTATTGGTCATTTTGGAATCGGATCGCTGCAAAAACAATTGGGTTTTTATTGAGACGGTGCTGAGGGTAAAGGAGGCTGCATCACAGACATAATCCACAAACACAAAGGACATACAGCAGTATTCGGGGAAAGTTCTTCTCTTGTAGTTTCTTCCAGACACAAATATTACATTCTCAATATTAACCCTTTTGGCGACAAAGTAGTAGAAATGTGACACCAGCTCCTAAATCCTGGACACTCTCTATACAGGGACTTGGCCTCCCACAATCATCTCATGTATTTATCTCACACATGTTTCTCAAAAATGTTTCTATGTATTTCATTATTGATTAAAGTAGTCCACTATCTTCCTGCTGTTGTCAGACTGTACAACGAACAATGATAACTCACAAACACTGTCGTGGTGATGTCACATGTTGTGCTTCTGTTCTTGCACTGGAATATACTGTATATTATATTTGCTTTATGCGAGCGGCTTTAGCTGAATGAATGAAGGCTTGTACAGACGCATGTGCCCATTTCACGTTTTTATTTCATTGCACAAATTCACTGTAAGAGCTAAAACCATGAATACATTGAATCAGTAAAGCAGACAAAAGAATCATAAAAGTCACATTAAAATACACACGTTTATCCCCTTTCAGCGCTAACCATTTAAACAGTTCAGACCGGACCATCCCGAGCCCACACCATGTCACACTAAGTACAATTCAGAAGAAACCGGAAGTTGCCCAGACAAAAAAATAATAATCTGCTTTAGATTTTAACAAAGTAATTACTGTAAAGTCTCTCAATAAGAACCTAAACTGTAAAATAGAAACTGCTGTAAATCAATTCTTTATTCAGTAAAACATTTAAAGCAATTAACTCATTATTTATATTTTATTGCAGTAAAATTCATGACACAAATGATCGACGTCTTTTACAAAAACATGATTTCTCTTTATCAGTAGAAAAGCTCTGAGCGATGTGTTTAAAAAATCACATCTTTAAAATTAGAGTTTCCTCAAGTCGTCAGAGTTCAGCAGAGACACAGAGGAACCAGGACGCTCCAGACTGAACCCAACAAACAGCGGCTCTGAGACGGACACGCTGACGGAGTGGAGGCGGTACCAGTATTTATTATAATCATAAGCCTTAGAGAAAGACAGAACTCCAGCCTCAGAGTCCAGGAAAACACCTACTCTTTGTGGGGAGTAGTAGTTCTTGTCCAGTTGTGTTTTACTTTTACAATGATAAAAAGACATCTCGTCTCCTTCGATCCTCAGACTCCAGGACTGATCATTGTCCCCAAAGCGACACTGGTCCAGGTCTCCTCTGCGTCCGATTCCTCTGTGACTCAGTGCTATAACTACATCTCCGCTCCACTCCACCTCAAAGTAAGAGCGTCCTGTGAGGGCGGTGGAGCTCAGCAGCTGTGGGCAGGAGCTGAAGCGGTCCTGGTGAGAGGGGTACAGCTGCAGCGCCTCCACTCTGGTCACTGTCCTTCTGTCCTCACTCAGCTGCAGAGTGTTATTGGCCGTGTTTGGATCCAGAGAGACGTCACAGAAGTCTGAGAACACACACACACTGGTGACCTCACTGTCACTTTAACACACCATGCAGCAAAACACACAATATACAACAGATTTTACATTTGCAACAGTTCAGACACAGGAAACTAAGGAAAATGGATCGTTGTAAATAGTTGTTTTATTGGTTCTTATTCTCTATATTTATTTATTTCAATAGTTTCCAAAACATCACAATCTTTTTTGTTCAAATGCGTCACATTAATGACTTTTGAATGCACTGGAAACGACAGCGAGACCTAAGTAGCTCTGAAACAGTTGTTTTACAATTGTTATTTTTCTCCCAGAGCAGAGAGAATGCACAATCTGAACCAAACAGATCAAGAGTAAATCCACTCAGATCCAAATCCATTCAGAGCAGAGAAAATGGTCCAAACCAAGCAGACTCTGCAGACATCACCCAGAGGAGAGGAAGCAGCTCATCACCAGCAGCTCCTCCACCTCTGCTGCTGCTGCACTTTATTACTATTGTAGTCACTTTTAGAATGATGCATTTATTTGTTTGTTTGGATGGATGTGTTTCTGCTGCTGGACACCTGCATTTCTCCATCAGGGATCAAGAAAGTATTTACCCAAAATCAGGCCCAGATCTGTCTCTGACTAAACACCTCCATGTCCTTCCTGATCCTTTCTTCTCCTTATCATTGATCTGCTCTTGAGGTGGACCATAAGGAGCTGTCGCTCCATCTCAATAGGAGCACTCCCTCTGAGGAACATCTCAATCTCAGACTTTAAACCGTTCCTTCACTAATGAATGTGGATGGTCCTCGTGGACAGACCACCAACATACAGGTCAATGAAGAGAAAAGGCACAGATGGAGGAGGACTAAACATTCTAACTTATGACATCACTTCCTGTTTACTCACACTTCCTTGGACCTGTGACCATCCACCTCTCTCCAGCCGGGTCCAGCCTGTAACACACAGGTCACTCACACATGGAACAAGACTCACAATAAGATCCAAACACAGACTGTGACAAAACTGAGGAATAATGTTGTTTATCTGTCGACTTCAATCTGACCAGAGGAAGGTGCTAAAACTACAGGATGTGTGGCCTTCAGGATTCTCTGGACCAAATGCTTTTGGAGGATTTGTGACTGAACTGCAGAGATGGAGCCTCAAAAAGACTCAATAAACAGAGATTATGTCTGTGATCATTCAATCATCAACATTTTCTATTGAGCCTCAGTGTTTTCTACAAAAGAACGTCTCCAGTTTAACCTCTTACTGTCGGACAAAACATTTCTTCTTATCATAGTGATCTTTCTCCTGTGATTTATGAACTGATGTGTGATTAACAATAATAAATCATACTTATTTAGTGCTTCACAGAGATTATTCATTTAACAGAGGTCTTCCATCACAGTACTATCCAGGCCCTGCCCTGCTTAGCTCCTGAGCTCTGACAGGATCAGGCTTCCACATGCAGGTTGGCTACATACATACTTTGTGATCATTCAGTAAAAAACAGATTGTTTATATTTCAGTTCAGCGATAGATGTTTTTGCTCAGAATTGTGTTGAATTCAAATAGTTTCAGTTGAAACACTGTTGTCTTGTTGCCGTGGAGATACGCACTAGTTCTTATTCAAAAGAAAGACAGAATGAATGATTGAAGAAATACACAGTGAATACTTGAACAGAGAGAGTCTGGGCAGTGTGCTCACCTGAGTGTGTGCAGGGGGTAGTGGGGGTGGTCCCGTACAGCGGTCAGGACCTCTGCTGAGGCTCCTGGATGGTTGTAGCTCAGGTCTAACTCTGTCAGATGAGAGTGGGCGGAGCTTAGAGCAGAGGCCAGAGCAGCTCCGCCCCTCTCAGAGACCACACATCCTGAGAGTCTGTAAACACAAGGACACTTTCCATTCACTCCTCTGTGCACATTCAACAGGAGTCTGGTGATGTAGAAGCAACAGTCGTGAGTGTCTGACGGCCCCAGGGCCTCCGGGCCCCTCAGCTGCAGAGAGGCCCCCTGGGCCTCCGGTCCCCTCAGCTGCAGAGAGGCCCCAGGGCCTCCGGGCCCCTCAGCTGCAGAGAGGCCCCCTGGGCCTCTGGTCCCCTCAGCTGCAGAGAGGCCCCAGGGCCTCCGGGCCCCTCAGCTGCAGAGAGGCCCCCTGGGCCTCCGGGCCCCTCAGCTGCAGAGAGGCCCCAGGGCCGCCGGGCCCCTCAGCTGCAGAGAGGCCCCAGGGCCTCCGGGCCCCTCAGCTGCAGAGAGGCCCCAGGGCCTCCGGGCCTCTTAGCTGCAGAGAGGCCCCCTGGGCCTCCGGGCCCCTCAGCTGCAGAGGCCCCAGGGCCTCCGGGCCCCTCAGCTGCAGAGAGGCCCCAGGGATAAAAGAGGCAGTAAAGAGCAACGCTTCCAAGTCTGTAGTAGTGTTAATGGTTCATGAAATATGAAGTGGTTCTGACACATGTGTCTTTAAGGCCTCAGGAAAAGACAACATGTAAAAGTGATATGGGTCTGAAACAGCGAGACGAGCAGAGTGTGTCTCATGTCCACTCATCCACTCATGCTTCCTCCTCTGCTGCTCTAGTCCGTCTTCTTCCCTACACACTTATGCCACACTTCTATCACTTTGCACGGCTGCTTTTACTATTTAACACTAGTCTGTTTGACAATATGACATCATATACGTTTACAGTACATTATATTAAGTTTACAGTTTATAGATTTGGGTAAAGGTTAAAGGACTTTGGGAAAGGTCCTAATTAGATCCTCACTGTTTTGAAAAGTTATCCATATTTTTATGTTATTATTATGTCTTCTTAAACTGTGTGAAACATGGAGCAGGACTCACCTGAGGACCTCCAGTCTGCAGGTGGCGCTCTTCAGTCCAGAACACAGCTGCTCCACTCCTGAGTCTGTGAGGTCATTGTTACTGAGGTCCAGGTGTTTCAGAGCAGAGGAGCCGAGGACCGAGGCCAGAGACTCACAGCAGAGATGAGACAGACGACAGAAGGACAGACTGAGGAGAGAACAGGATCCACTGTTATTAAATAAACACAATAATATAAAACAAAGACCCACTGTCCTCATCCTTTGTGTTTAGTTTCTTTACACAATATTAAGGTGAAAGGATCATTCCTCAAATGTCCTGGTGTGGCCCGGTTTAGCTCGGGTTCATCTTAGTCTTGTCACGATACTGAATTCATAACTCAATTTTGATACAAGACAAAATACGTCAAACTAATTTGAAAAACCACATTATTTATAAAGGCTCTTTTTGGACAATAAACTGACATTTTTAACTAAAAATAATAATGATCTTCATAGAGCCATAAGGTTTTATACAAGTTCTTCTGATATTGTTTAAAATGAATCGAAAAATGTCAAGTGTCCAGTTTATGTCATTCTTTTTATGACTGAAGCTAAATAACATATATAACTAATCTAACCATAATCAATATACAGATCATTTCAAACACAATGATTAATCAATAGTTGGAACTGTTTGAATGTATTTGTTTTATATTCTAATGATTAAATAACATTCAATGAGACACAAGACAAATAAACTGAATCAATCCAAAAATCCATCATTAGAGATTATTCTGTTCCACTTTTGTTCATATTTCAACAGGAGGAAAATGTAAATTACTGATTACACTTTTCAACATTTCATTGTCGTGCACTTTATCTAGAGCTGGTGTTTCTTACTAACTACAACTAATCATTCATTATTTATTTCACCACAAAGAAGCCAAACTGGAGCTGGATGAGAACTTGGAGAAAATGGAAACTGTATTAGTTTGAATGCAGTGGTTTTTGTTCTTCAGACTTTTATATTAAAACACAATAATGCAAATGTTCTGCTGCTCTTTAAGGTCTGATATGGGGCTGTTCTGGGTCTCACCTGAGGACCTCCAGTCTGCAGGTGGCGCTCTTCAGTCCAGAACACAGCTTCTCCACCTGAGAGTCTGTGAGGAAGCAGTGACTGAGGTCCAGATGTTTCAGAGCAGAGGAGCTGACGACTGAGGTCAGATCAAAGTATCTCAGGACACAGCTGGACAGACTGAGGACAGAGAGGAAGATAACAGGCTCCAATCATGAGTTTGTGTTTTAATAAAATCTCGACTCACGTGACTTTTCTGGAGGCTTTCATTACAGGCTGCAGACCTCAGAGCTCAGAGTCTGAAGACAGTAAGAGGAGAGACACCGCTGTCCACTCACTCACAGACATGTATTTATCAGAGAAATGTCCTTCTCTCATGTAGCGCTGCACCTGGTGCAGCAGACTGTGGTCGTTCAGCTCATGCAGACAGTGGAGCAGGTTCATACGACTCTCTGATGGAATATACTTATCATTCAACTTATCTGTGATGCATTTTATTGTGTCTTTATTGGTGTCTGAGGTTCTTCCAGTCTTCTGCTGCAGACCTAATAACAGGCTGTGATTGGTTGGAAGAGACAGACCCAACAGGAAGCGTAGAAATAGGTCCAGGTGACCGTTGGGACTCTCTACTGCCTTTGTCACAGCAGAACGGTAAAAGACAGACGTTGAGCTCTCTGCGTCAGACCAATCATGAGTTTGTGTTTTAATAAAATCTCGACTCACGTGACTTTTCTGGAGGCTTTCATTACAGGCTGCAGACCTCAGAGCTCAGAGTCTGAAGACAGTAAGAGGAGAGACACCGCTGTCCACTCACTCACAGACATGTATTTATCAGAGAAATGTCCTTCTCTCATGTAGCGCTGCACCTGGTGCAGCAGACTGTGGTCGTTCAGCTCATGCAGACAGTGGAGCAGGTTCATACGACTCTCTGATGGAATATACTTATCATTCAACTTATCTGTGATGCATTTTATTGTGTCTTTATTGGTGTCTGAGGTTCTTCCAGTCTTCTGCTGCAGACCTAATAACAGGCTGTGATTGGTTGGAAGAGACAGACCCAACAGGAAGCGTAGAAATAGGTCCAGGTGACCGTTGGGACTCTCTACTGCCTTTGTCACAGCAGAACGGTAAAAGACAGACGTTGAGCTCTCTGCGTCAGACGTGGGCCTCTCTGTGGTTTGTTGTGGGGACAGCAGGTTGACCCCAGAGCTGTAGAAGGTGAGGTGGACGTGAAGCGCAGCCAGAAACTCCTGCACGCTCAGATGGATGAAGCAGTAGACCTTGGTCTGGTACAGCCCCGGCTCTTCTCTAAACACCTGTGTGAAGACTCCGGAGTAAAGAGAGGCCCCTGCAGCGTCCAGCCCACACTCCTCCAGGTCTGAATCATAGAAGATCAGGTTTCCCCTCTGCAGCTGCTCAAAGGCCAGTTTTCCCAGAGACTGCACCATCTCCCTGGTGTCAGGGCTCCAGTGAGGCTCGCTCTCAGAGCAGCCATCGTACTTGAGGCTTTTGACTTTGGCCTGGACCACCAGGAAGTGGATGTACATCTGGGTGAGAGTCTGAGGCAGCTGCTCTTTGAGCCCTGTCTCCATCACATGGTCCAGGACTGTGGACATCATCCAGCAGAAGACCGGCAGGTGGCACATGATGTACAGACTGCGTGAGCTTTTGATGTGGGAGATCATGTCTGTGGCCCGCTGTTGGTCTCTGAACCTCTTCATGAAGTACTCGTCCTTCTGCGGGTCAGTGAACCCTCGCACCTCTGTTACCATGGAGACCCACTCAGCAGGGATCTGATTGGCCGCCGCAGGGCGTGTGGTTATCCAGAGGCGAGCAGAGGGAAGCAGGTTTCCTCTGATGAGGTTCACCAGCAGCACGTCCAGCGAGACGCTCTCTGTGTCGTCTGTCAGGACTCGAGTCCCAGCGAAGTCCAGAGGAAGTCTGCACTCGTCCAGACCGTCCAAGATGAAGAGCACCTGCAGCTGCTCGAGGCTGCGCAGACGTTTGGCTTCGCTGTAGAAGTGCTGTGTGAGTCCACGGAGGCTGAAGGCTGTGTCTCTGAGAACATTGAGCTCTCTGAATGTGAACGGCAGCAGCAGCTGGACGTCCTGGAGAGCCCTGCCCTCAGCCCAGTCCAGACTCACCTTCTGAGTCAGCACTGTTTTCCCCACACCAGCCACGCCCTTCGTCAGCACCAGTCTGATTGGTTCCCGTCTCTCGCTTTGCTCTGCTCTCACTGGTCTTCCTTTGAGTGCGGGCCCTTTAAACATGTCCTCACATGTGATGGGGCGCTCTGGGGCGGCTGCTCTCCTGGATCTGCTCTCGATGAGTCTGACTTCATGCTCCTGGTTGACCCCCGCGGCCCCTCCCTCTGTGATGTACAGCTCAGTGTAGAGCTGCTTCAGAGGGGCGAGGCTTCCGGCTTTAGCCACGCCCTCAGACACAAGGCTGAGCTTGTGCTGCAGACGCTGCTGCAGTTGATCTCTGCAAACTCCAGCCGCACTCTCTGTGAAGAACAGGAGGAACATGTGTGAGTCCAGGTTTACAGCCAAACACTGGTCACACCTCATGGTGCTACAGACACACATCAGAAGTGACACATGGGACCTTTAATGTTCAACACAAAATACAATGCACGTCTCCTTTAACTGACTGTCTTTCAACAATCACACCTTCAGCATCAGGTCTCACTCCGAGCATCAGGAGACACTGTACGACATCAGCTTTCTTCTATTTTAAAGGGACAGTACGTAAGATGTTTTTATTTTAAATCTTTTATCTATCTAAAGATTTAAATCATGTTTGGCCTTTTCTGATCAAAATGTGAATATTCTACCTTTTAAAAACAGACCATATTTATTGTTAAACAGATGATCCAATCAGAAAGAGGTTCTCATTGATGTTGCCAGTTTCTTTGGTGAAATCCAGTGTTTGGTCACTGAACATCAGTAATCACTGCTGCAACAGCAGGTGTGTGCTCTACAGGCAGGACACTGGGTCTGATGTCTAGTTTTACAACATGTCAATATTCTACCCAATCATTTGTATTTTAAATACTTATTCTGCTCTAGATTTGACTTTTAGACGACTTCTTTTTCTCAGATCTTTTATTTTTAAATATGTGAACTGTGTTTTCTTTGTTCTTACGGCTGAACAGACGCTCGGCCACTCGCCCCTCCCCCATCCTCTCCAGGAAGTGCAGTGCGATGGTCAGGAGGGCCTCTCTGATGCGCTGCTCCTCCGCCACTCTCTCTGAGCATTCTGGGTAATCTGAGTTCAGGGCCCGGTGGAAGCTCTGCACCTGCTCTTTGGCAAAGCCCAGGACCTTCTCCTGCAGCCGCTGCAAACACACAAACTCAGTCAGAACATAACCTCACAGACACTGTGTTTGTGTACTGACCGTGAAGACTGGGAGCAGCGGGTCTATACCGAGTTGATCCGTGCTGCTCTCCGCTCTGGGGACACAGTCAAAATATAGAAAACACCAAAGAAACAAACTATGACTCATGACTGAGTTTAATGTTGTTGTTGCAGCAAAAAGAAAAGTTAAAACAAGTTTGTTAGAATCAGGCACATGTTTATTGATGCCACAACACAGCAGCCACTAAGACTTTCTGACAGTTTTCAATCAAAGGAAAAGGCAAGTTTATTTGTATCGCACAGTTCATACAAGTGCATAACACACTCAGGAAGAGTCCTATATCCTGTGTTTCTCTGCTTTTAATCCCGTTATTACATCCTCACTAATGAGTCATTTCATCACTAAAGTTTCTTGTGGAACAAAGTAAACTTTGCCTTTCACCAATGAAAGCAGAGAACAAACTTAGTAATGCCAGTACACGCTGGAGGCCTCTAGTAGATAATAATAATAATAATCACAACGCATCAGTTTTATACAGCACTTTTCTGGAAACTCAAAGACACTTCATGTGTCATATTTCTTTCACTCCAAACACAGTTGTCATAGAAAACTATTTTAGCCACAGCTGCCCTGGGGCACACTGACAGAAGCGAGGCAACCACTATGTAACATCAGCCCCTCTGACCACTACCAACCATTCACACACACACCAGACTAGGGCTGGGCGATATGGCAAAAAAAAAAAATCTCCGATTTTTTCACACCAAATCCGATTTTCGATTTTAATTGATTTATTTTTTTCTATTTAAAAACAAACTACAACTGACAAAGAAATAGATTTTCCTTTATGCAGTTTAATCTCAATCCCCATGGAGCATAAGTGTAACAGGAATTAAGCCTTAAAACATGCTTGTAAACGAGATGGCTCTGCCATTGTAAACAGTGAAAATGTAGCTTAACAGTTTTATAATAACTTCACTTACAATGACACTATGCACCTTCAAAATAACTTAAATCACACAAACAAGGCCCATCGCAAATATATCAATCCTATTAAACACATGCATTATTTACATGAAATATCACTTTTTTAAAACTGATTACTCAAAATAGAAATGTTGTAACAGACAGTCTTTTCCAAAAGCCTCCTCGGGTTTTCATGCTTGTTCTTTCAAGTGTGCCTGAGTAACTGTGCTGTAGTACAACGCTCGGTCCAGCTGGTGGCGCTAATACTAACTTCAGTGACTCCCGCATTGTGCGAGCTTCCTGTTTACATTCTGATGCTGTAGCTAACAGCTACTGTAGCAGCTACTGTAGCTAACAGCTACTGTAGCAGCTACTGTAGCTAACAGCTATTGTAGCTAACAGCTATTGTAGCTAACAGCTATTGTAGCTAACAGCTATTGTAGCTAACAGCTACTGTAGCTAACAGCTACTGTAGCAGCTACTGTAGCTAACAGCTACTGTAGCAGCTACTGTAGCTAACAGCTATTGTAGCTAACAGCTATTGTAGCTAACAGCTATTGTAGCTAACAGCTATTGTAGCTAACAGCTATTGTAGCTAACAGCTACTGTAGCAGCTACTGTAGCTAACAGCTACTGTAGCAGCTACTGTAGCTAACAGCTATTGTAGCTAACAGCTATTGTAGCTAACAGCTATTGTAGCTAACAGCTACTGTAGCTAACAGACAGCGGGGAACACGTTGTTTGTATCAGAGCAATGAGAGCAATGTGTGAGACGTGTCTTTCCCCAAAGTGCAGCGGCTCAGTGGGACACGAGTGTGTGCGCGCCACGGACACGGGAGTGCGCTTTGGAATAACGAGCGTGAGAGAGCGTGAAAGATGTGGCGTACGAACATGGCGTACGAACATGGCGTACGAACATAGCGACCGGAGCCTGCGTGCGTGTGCGTGTGTGCGTTCTGGCGATTTAAATAAAGTCTGATTCTTGAACGTTTGAAGTGTTATTGCAACAGCACCAACTGTGAGAGCGAGCATCAGGCCAGAGGGAGACTGTTAGCATTAGGTTAGCTTCAAAATGACTGCTCAACACCAAAGACCCGCCGTTAGCGCGTTAGCGCTGTAGTTCTGCGCTAGAGAAAATAAAAATTGAATTTTTAAAAAAAGAAATCGCCCTAAACGTAAAACTCGAATTAATGATTAAAATCGATTAATCGCCCAGCCCTACACCAGACTTATCCTAGGCAATGTGGGTGAAGTGTCTTGCCGAAGGACACAACAACAGTTTGGCACTTTACAGCCGCAGCTGCCCCACTGTGGCACCTGTTCCCAGAGGTCTCCCATCACAGTACTAACCAGGCCCAGCCCTGCACAGCTTCAGAGGTCTGCAGGATCTGTCTTTCACATGAAGGTATGGCCACATAATCCATAATGATCCACTGGAGAGAGGGAAGTTCAGCTCCAACGCTTCAGACCTGAGTTGGTTTAAGTCTGATTTAAATCCAGTTAGAATAATCTACTACTTTAATGGATCTATAAGTTGATGTTAGTCCACTTACTCCTGTCCTTTTCTGATCCAAACTCAAAAAGTCACTTCTGAAGCAGAGACTGAGCACTTCCAATGGAGACATGATGTGCATCAGTCCAGAGACTACGACCATCCAAACAAGTGTAGATGAAGTTGAAGTGCACTAAATGATGGTGTGGATCAGTAAAGTCAGAGCGGACATTTTGAGGCAATACTTCTCTACACTCTGTTGTTCTCTGTGTCACTGGTGGAGAGTGTTTCTGATCTGGTTTAACCGTGCTGCCACTTACCCCATGTTCTCAGGTGGACTGTTCTTAAACTCTTCGTCCCAGTCTTTAGAGCTGTCACTGAGGCTGGAGCCACAGCTCAGAGCAGGGTGAGGGTTCGAGTCCCTACAGTCAAAGAGTCTGTTCAGAGCATGTTACAGTGGAGCACACACTCAGGAACAAACTCACCTTTTAAAGTTGATTGGCCACAATTTGGACCTGTCGCTCTTCAGAGACTCACAGCTGGGACCAGGATCAGGTCCAGAACTGGACTTTCTTTTGGTTTCAGATCCAGGTTTGACCATTGTCCTCCTGAAGAAAAGTAAATGGATCCATGAAAACTGCAGAATGATGAGCCCAATAAGGAAGGTAGATGTTCTACTCCTTTATTTTGCTAAAGTCAGAGTTGTTTGTTCTCATTATGCCAGAGATAGAGATTTTATACTTGTTTCTTCTTCATAATAGAGTTAGAGATTTTTATTTTATTTTATTGAGTATAGAGTTATTGTTCATTGATCTTGTGCCGTGTGCTCCTCATTCCTACTGTTCTGTAACTGCTGATGCAACACTGACATTTCCCCACTGTGAGACTAACAAAGGATCTCTTCATTCTATTAGTCGACCATTTCATTTTAAATTGTGATTTTTAAAATACATTTGAGGAGGATTGTAACTATTGTACATGTTTTTAGGGGAAGATGAAACCGGAGCACCTGGAGGAAACTTGCGCAGACACAGAGAGAACATAATAAAGTGTATGAATATGAGAGTGTGTGTGTGATAGTAATGTTTGGACTGTATTTTATATTGAGTGAAGCTGAAAAAGACTGTCCATCAGTCTTACTGTAATCATCTCCATCCTGTCCAGGACTACGGCTGGAAACGAGCAGATTTACTAAAACCTGGCACAGGACATTGTTTCTTTTTATGAGACGTTTGTTTTTGTGCTTTGTCCCAGATCAAATAAATACATTCAAACAAACCTTTTAAAGTCGAGTATTGGATCTTTGGACCTGTCGCTCTTCAGAGACTCGCAGCTGGGACCAGGTCTGGTTTGAGATCCAGATTTGTCCAGTTTCCTCCTGAAGATGATTTTAAACAGTTAATATTTATACATGATTCTTTTTAACACAAATCCACACTTAGAAATGTAAATGTGCATTATGCTTGTTCTCAATAATAATTATTCATCAGTCTGTTTCATGGTGCAACAATGGGACCCCTGAACACGGCCCCTTCCATCTGCACCTGCGGACTGCCCTCCCCTCCTGGGAGCTGCTTCAGTCCTGCACCGGACTTGTCCTCGTTCTACAACCTGACACCTGAGCTGCGTGGCCTTGGTCCTTGTTCAGTAGCTTAGGTCCTGGATCTACAGCCCGTCCGTGTGGATCCCTCTCTCAATGTGGGTCACCCCGAGGTTTCTCAATTTTCTCCCACTGGGTTTTAGAGTTTTTCCTCTGATGCAGGAGTCTGTCAGACTGTTAGTGTCCAACAAGGAGGACCGTGATGATCCAGGACACTACATTCTACAACATTTATGGACATTCATCATTTATGGACATTAGTCTCTCCCTTTGGACCAACACATATGTGTTCTATATTTTTTGTTAACTGTGGATTCTCTGATCGTTGGTGATTTCAACGGTTTTTTAAAGCTGCACTAACTGACTTTATTTTCGTATTAATTACAAAAATGCTATCCATGTCCGTGTAGGGCATTGGGATATACGTCCTTTTGAAGAAAAAGTAGCGCAGATTTGTGCTGCCGTGACATTATATTTTAGATCGAGTTTTGATGAAACAAGGAAGAGAATGTGTTTCGGGTCGCAGATTGTGACCAATCACAGCGCACCACTAGCCCCCACTTTCGTGAGAAATCTACAGGTCCGTTAGCATAGACAGCTGAGTTAGCACAACAAGCCGAGGAGCTAACCTGAAACTTCCTCGTCTTCGTCACCGGTTACTGCTTACACAGCAAAACATCCATCCAAAAGAAAGTCTCGTTCCTCCGCGCTTCCCGGTTCTATCGTTCTATGGTCACGCCATCCACGTGCAAATCCATATCCATGTATTATCCATATTGGGAGACGCTAGCTCCGTCCCAACAGTGGGTGTGTGTGGGGGGCGATAGCTTCGTGGGTGCGGGGAGGGGAGCAGAAAGAGCGAGGCCAGCGAGTCTGCAGCTTCAAAATCCCAAAGTCAGTTAGTGCAGCTTTAAGTCGTCTGAGATATCTACTGTTGTGATTTAGGGCTATACAAGAATACATTGAATTAAACTGAAATTCACTTAAAAGTGGAATTTTATAGAGTTAAAAAGAAATTCCAAGGTAAGCCTGCTGTAATATATACTGTAAATATTAATATTCATAAAAGTATTGTTCAATCAGGAGATAAAGGAGTATAAGTTACATGTAAGGACATTTATGGACATTTGTCTCCCACTCCCTCTGGACCAACAGCTCCTCTGTGTTTGTTATTACTGCATTTCCTGTGTTCAAACTGTTTGATTCTCTGATCTGTTGTTTAGGAATCAACAACTTTGTAAAGTCCTGGAGACGACTGCTGTTGTGATTTAGGGCTGTGCAAAAATAAACAGAATTGAGTTTCAAGTCCTTTTCGAGCAGACTCCAGCTCAGGAGGCCCGAATGCAGAGCGGCTGGTTCTCTGTGATTCCAGGAGAGATTCAGACTCAGACAAACATCAATCCTAAAACTATATTTTCTCTTCATGTGGATCTGTCTACATTTTAAACTAAATCATTATAATGTATTAAAATGTTTTTATACTTAACTGATTAAATTCAATTGTGTGAAAGAGTGAAAGGTGAAGAAAGATGAAAGCACAAGCTGCTGGTCTCTGGCTCAGTCTTCTCAAAACAGTGAGTTCAAGTTTAGGAGAAAGAACAAGTCTCTGCAGCTGTTGTGGAAGAGAATTCTCAACTCAAGGCCGTCTGCTCTTATCTCTCATGGGAGACACACATGCACTAAACTGTGCACGAGGAGAGCACCACTGAGGCTGGACCATAGACTGTAAAAATTAACGGACGTAGTCATGCCCATATTTGGGCATCATCTGGTCCTCCCGGTTCTGGATTTAAAGAAAAATTAAGGATTTAAGAAGAAAAAAAAGTTCAGGATTACAAGGGACACAAAAATCCAACCTTTATGAAAGCCGTAGGTTCTCTGTCAGGTTCTCTGTCAGCTGAGGTCCAGCTGTTTTAGTTTACATTGAGTTCTATGGGATATTTCTGGGAAGCCCACGTGAATTTAGCCTGCAGTACCACAGCGCCCTCTGTGTCCATTGGTGGGACAGTTATACGCTAGTAAGACTCTATCCAGATATTATTATAGATCCATGGGCTGGACAGAGATGAAGACACAACGTGAGGGAACCCTGAGCCAGGGCTGGGGCCCCTCGACCCAGAGCAGACAGGAGACAGAAGCGAGAACACACACACGAGACTTTTGGGACTAAAACTGCCCTGATTGGAGCAGGACAGAGGCCCATCTCACATTTGTTACATCTACAACCTTTGAAATCCAGGATGATGGTCTGAGTCCCAACAGTCAAACAGAATATGTTCAGAGCGTGTTACAGCGGAGCACACACTCAGGGAGAAACAAACCTTTTAGAGTCGATTATTGCCTCTTTGGGCTCGTTGCTCTTCGGAGACTCACAGCTGGGAATAGAAGCCGGTCTAGATTTTGTTTTGGTTTTAGATCCAGGTTTGTTCATCGTCCTCCTGAAGAAAAGAAATGTATCTGTGAAAACTGAAGGAGAATGACGAGCGAATACAAAAGTAAAGATACACATAAAAGACAAAGTGAACACATTATTAAAGTTTCAAACCTTTCAGATGTTTCCTCAGAGAGACACAGAGAGCTCAGATCAGGGCCAAGATCTGCACCAGGACTGAGAGGCTCCATTATCCCCAAAATGTAGCAGTGCACAGAGAGAGCAGAGGTCTGTGATACAAAGAGGAATTATAATAGTTTAAAAATACATTACCCACAACACACAACCACATGTCACACAGACAACCAGAGCCTCAGTCCTGGATCTACAGCCTCGGCCCTGGGTCTACAGCCTCGGCCCTGGGTCTACAGCCTCGGCCCTGGGTCTACAGCCTCGGCCCTGGGTCTACAGCCTCGGTCCTGGGTCTACTACCTCAGTCCTGGGTCTACAGCCTCGGTCCTGGGTCTACAGCCTCTGACACGTAGCTGTTGTTGTTGCTGCCTGATTCTTACTGAAACACATTCATCATGATTTTAATTGAATAAATGAGGGGTGTTCTTTGGATGTATTCAAATGTTTTGTGTAACGTTGAAATCCGGGTTAAAAACAGTTCTGTTTTGCTGTGAATACAACTGAAGGAAGGATCTTCTTTTTAATGCTGTGATTATTTATGATGCTAATGCCCTTTGTGATTTTAATAAGTCTTTTCTGCATTTTGTATCAAACGCTACAAATAAATATTGATAATATACATTAATGGCAGTATTCTGTCTCTGGGTAAATATCAATAAGAGGAAGTGAAAAAAGAGCATGATGAAATGCTACCTTCGAGTTTCTTCTTCACAAAACTGACAATTTAATCACATTTGCTGTTTTGGAATAATGATTGAAGTCGATTTAGTGTTTGGAATATGGAGTGTGTTTCTGCCCCAGAGGCTGTGTCCCTGTGAACAAAAGATCTCTGGGAAACATTCAATAACAACAACAATAATAATAATAATAAGTATAAACCTTTTTAGACTCTCGATGATAATTCACAAATCATTATTTATTCACTCCAAACACGGTGGTGATAAACTACTGTAGCCACAGCTGCCCTGGGGCACACTGACAGAAGCGAGGCAACCAGTCTGTGCCATCAGCCCCTCCAACCAACACCAACCATTTACACACACATACACGCCCGCACACACAGAGTTCATCAAAGTTGTTTTCAGTTTTGTTTTATTGAACAAAAGTCTTCAAAGGTTTTAGGAAATACATTATAATACAAGTGTGTCACCATGGCAACAACTGATGACACTGAAACAAGTCTTAAGCCCAAACTCAACTATACCGCAAATTTCAGAATGTTTTTGTCTTTTTAAAAACCTTTTCCATCTTTACAGAGACACAAACAGTGAGGAGATGGTCCAAAAACAAGCAGCTGCTGAAAGACTGGAAGAAAAATCTGCTCTAAACTGAACGGCATTCTGGGAAATGTAGGACAAAAGGGAAGGAAAAGAGGCACAGCAGATGTTTATTGGTACATTTCCTATTATTCTGTACATAATCTGGGCCTAAAGCATATGATGTGCAACGTCAACATGTATTGGTTTGTATAATTCACATTTGAACAGAATTATTTTACTTGATTCAAAGTTTGACTCAAGATTTAGACAGAACCCATTTTAATCTCATGATGAATAAAGAAGCAGGTATTGACGTTATTAACACAATTCTACAGAAGAAATGTAAAAATGACCACAATCATCTTTATGGAGAGAACCCAGTGATTTGTCTGTTTTCTGTTATTGTAAGATTATATCAAACATTCATGGAGAAAGCAACATCTTAACGGACCTGTGACTGCAGAGAAAATACAAAGCTAATTTGAAGCTAATCAAGTAGCTATCAGTCCAATGAGGTTCAGTTGCTCCTCTGATAGATTCTACAAGTTGGTTCTTTGTTTAAGACCAGAGTGTTTTTTTCATTCCTGACACTTTTGCTGGTGCACAGTCTTCCTCCCAGTGTTGTGTTGCTTGTGTGCTAAAGCGTACACACAAGCAACACAACACACACAGCAAGAACAAGAGACACTCAGATCTGCCATCTCCGACCAGTGTAAAAGAGAGAACCACATTATGGATCGGGACGGAGCAAGTATCATAGTGGCTGAGGACAACAAACACGACGCTGGATCAAAGAGGCAATAGAAATACGGGAACGCGCCATCAGGACTATAAACCGGGACGAGGGGGCTTCTTTACTCTCACACAGCTGGGATTCTGTCCTGAAGAAGTCGTACAGCAGATGGCGCTGTCGCCCTGCCTCTGGTGGTAGAAAGACAGCGGCAAAAACTGAGGAAGACTGCAGTCACAAGTGTCAGGTATGAACAAAAATGAATAAAATTGTATAAATAACTATCATTTTGTAAGAACAGACCAGATGATGTGAATAGGGCAGAATCAGCCTGTTGGGAGTTCTCACTGGGGGTGGTTTACATATTTTTATGGAGAATTAATAAAAGCAACACAAACTGTATGAAGTGAAAGATAATTATATTTAGTTTGGGTATTACAGTCAAAGGAATAACATCTCAGAGGAAATAAGCATCTATCCGACTATCCAACATGACATTATACAGAGCATTTGTTTTTCCATGCTCAAAAAGACAAAATATAGCTTCATGAATAAACGTTTGTGGCTATATTTAAAGAGGCGCAGGTAATCATGTGGCTCGCTGCCATTGAGATGTTATTGCTTTGCTTGAAATGTACCTTAGCATGATATAAAACTTGTACAGTATCTCAACACAGATGTTTTCACTGCAGCACCTGAACTCTTACATTGGCTCTGCTCGGCTCTCCGCAGATTCCACTTGTGTTGTTGCCAATGTGGGTTAATACTCTGGAACATTCCAAGTCAAAGGACATTGAGATGGACCCAAGACAACAACAAAAACAGTGTATTTTTAAAGCCAGGGTACCCAACTTTAAAAGAAAAACAGATGAAGAATGGAGCTGCTGTTTTCACATTTCACCAGGTGCTTATTTTAGGGCCTCTGTCACATCTTTACATCATCATTCTTTGACAGAAAAGTGAGAAAGAGCACCGCCCTCACTCGGCCAATCAGCTCTCAGCCCAAAGAGTCAAAAAGAGACTCACAGGGATCTTTCTGACAGCTGTGAAAATGTTTGATACCATTTTAAAAAACAACATAATGGTCTGATTCCTTCACAAAATGTGGCTTTTACAAAACGCTTTCTGTCGGGACACAACAACGTGTGTTATTCACCAGGACAAAAAGTTAGGTCTCCCAGCTTTAATTTAGCCGCCAATGAATTCCCAAAGATGACAGATTGTAACAAGAGACATTTCTAGACACAAATACAAAACAGAAGGAAAAGGAAAACTTTGTGAAACTTGTATGAAATACAAAATGGAAGACGAAGCCTTCATTTCCGACTTTGAAGTGAAACAAAATGAAATGCATTTGTACATTCTAAACAGCCTCACCCAAGTGCATATTTGTGTGGTGTCCCTGGGCAAGACGCTTCTCCCACGTCGCTCACTGAAGTCACAATATGTACAGCCAACTGCCACAGGAATGATCATTATCAAGTGTGGAAACCCAAATCGGACATGGGATTGAATGGAAAAGAAGCGGCGGACGTCTAAAATACAGACTTTAAAATGAAAGTTCAAATGTGGACTGAAGAGCAGTTCAAATATTCTTTGTAGTCTCTCATGATCAGCATCAAATCACAGTGTAGACCCAAAATAGTAGTGAACATGTACGAGTCACCTCCTCAGCTCTGGTGCAACTGTTTAGCCTCAAAGGAAACATGCGGCTATGACATCAAAACAAAACAAATCATTATTAAGACAAAAACATGGATATTCCACTTTCCCACTGCATTCGCTCGATTCGGGCTTACGTCACATTGCGGCAAGATCTGGACAAAGCTTTTTTCTCTTGGATAATCTTTCATGCATTGATGGAGAATAGACTATGGCACTATTGAGAAAAAAAAACATCCCGTAAAGTGAAAACGCTCTCTTCATTTATTCATTTTTAATAAATGTGTGAAGAGCTTTGACTGGACTTTATTTCCAACAATGTTCTGGTAGTTTTCCTGAGAATGTGTTTTTGACTCTGTACTTATGGGAGGACAGCTCTGTTCAGCTCAGCATCGCTCCCATTTCTCCTTCTCTTTGTCTGGGTTTATTGTCTCAGTCACAAAATTAAGACCATTTTGTTGCAGAATTGTGCTGGAAACGAAAAAACAGTGAAAAAGGAGATTATATGTTTGTCTATAGTGCCTCTGGAAAGTACTAATACACAAATACAGAAAAGTCCAAAGTTGGGCATGCACAAGTATTCATACAGCATTTTTCTGAGTGTGTAAAATGTCCTGACTGTTGAATGTTCACACCTTGCCCTAACCATTAAATAGAGATTATTGGTCACTAAACAGCATCATGAAGGCCAAGGAGCCCAGCAGAGAGCTCCGGGATCATGGAGAATTTTTTTAGCAGTCGTGTTTTCTAACCGGGCTAAAATTCCTTTCAATTAACGTTAATACATAATACGTGTGCGTAGGTTTACTCCGGGTGCTCCGGTTTCCCCTACCATTAAAAACATGTACAATAGGTTTGAATGTAATGCGTGATTGGATGGAGGGTGTTGGTTGGGTGCTTTGATGCATGTGTCCGGCACCTCACCACCGTGTGTAAACTGAAAAATATCGGATTTCTGGACATTGTAAAGCACTTTGGGTGACCTTGGCTTGAAAAATGTGCTATATAAATACACATTACTTACTTACTTTATGGACGAGTGGTAAATAGAAACTCAGTGTTGAAATAAAGATGCAAGAAAAAAGCGGTGGACACATTTAACAGTCATGAAAGTGCTCAGAGTCGTGAGTGAGAATAGAACTCTTTGGGTCAAAACTATCAAGATGCACTATCCACAGTGTCAAATATGGGGGTGGCAGCATCCATATTATGGGGCTACTTTTCTCCAGCAGGGACAGGGAGGAGTATCAAGAGTGGATGGAGCAAAATACAGGACATTATTGGAAAAAAATCTTCTTGGAGCTGGGGATTCCACATAGTATTAACTTTTGCTGTATGATTATTTGTGCAAAACTCCACTTTCACATTTTATTCTTTAAAATCAACAAAATCATGTATCTTCAAACTTTGACTTGTGGTTGTAACAGGGCAAAATGTGTAGAAGTTCAAGCTGTATAAATACTTCTGCAAGGCACTGTATTTATGTGTATATATAATTTATTACTCCACAGAAATATTCTGTCCTTTTTTTGACTACACTCCCTAAATGACTAACTTGTCACAATATTCCAACATTTGAGTATTGTAAAAATATTAAATGGGTTGTCAATTTTAACATGCAAACATTTGTTTTCAGCATTGTGCTTGAATGTCACAATGTTAAACATTGATGTTCTGATCGAACCCTAAAACCAAATCTATCTCAAACTGTACACAATATGTTATCCTAATCTTTACCCAGAACTAAATCTGGACTAGAAATGTCTATATCTACATAGTGCTAAATCAGGTTCAGCAAATCTGGTTTTTAGTAGCTGGACATTGTCCTTTAAAAAGCAGATCAAAGTCAGAAAGTCTAAAAGGGTAGTTGTAAGATGCTGGTTAAAGACAAAATGCTATGCATTTTTCCACTTGAAATCAAACGTGATGAAATATTAATGCTAAATTTTGAAATTGCAGTCAGAGTAGTTGCAATTCGGGCGTTCTGCTCTCCCAAAATTCCATCCGATGGGCGGGGGAGTGACTGAATTTTGCGTTGCATTATGGGTAACACTTGCCTTCGCAACTTCCGGTTCTCTCTGCCCGGCGCATTTTCTCTAAATGGTTGAGTGTTTTCGTCATTTTCTGTATGCAAATACATTCCCGTCTCTAACTAGTGGCATATCGCGCAAATCATCCGTCCAATTCACATTCTTCCCTCTTAGCTGAACTTCATTCTCATTGTTACCATCTGTCACTCGCACACACAGCCGTTTTCGTTCACTCTGCTCGCTGTCATCTTCTTCTAAATCTTCATAAACACCATCCGCTCGTTGAACTAGCAACAACAATTCCTCCTTTCGTTTTCCCACACTGCAAATACCCTTTCGCTTCAACCTTTCACGCAATTCAGGCACTGTCAATCGTTTGTTGTTTTCGTGAGCCATATTCGCCATTGTATGAAATCAACCGGAAGTGAACTGGGCAACAAACGGTGTCATTTTTTTATCACAGCGCCGTTCAGTGGATGAAATTTTGGGAGAGCAGAACGGCCGAATTGACACATGATCATAAATAGACCCAGTTGCTCGTTTTATGTACAAATATATAGTATTATGAAAAACTAGATTTTTTTGAAAGAATCCAACACTAATCAGAAAATGTGAATCGTGAAGAGCAACATCTTTAATGCTTGAAATTCTTTAGTGAATTGCACAACCGTATAAGGACAGAATATCCAGAGAACAAAATATAATTTGAATCAATAAGTTAAAAAGGCATAGGATGCAAGTTAGTCACTCAACTTGAGTAAATATGTCCCCAAATGCAATATTTTACAACCAGTGATTTTGCCATCACCACACACCATGACAACCCAGGCACGTAACTGATGCTACAATCAGCAACGTTGCAAAAGATAATAACAGATTAATAAGTAAATTTATCATTATTAGGAAAACAAGAAAACTAAAATGTAGTTGACAAAAAGTCAAATTGACAAAATAAGAGGAAAAATATTTTAAATAATAAGTGAGTCTTTGACTCATTGATTTCAATTTCAAAACTCAAAATTAAATTCAGTCTGCCGAGGGACCCACGCACAAAATAAGGTAAGCCGAACAACTACGCAGTGGAAAAACCTTATAAAACCTACTTGAGTTCAAGTCTGATCTCATTTGATCAGATACCGGAAATCTCTAAGGATGTGATGAAATGGTTGGATTTTAATCACAGGTGACAAGTTCACCTGTAAAATCTTTTGGGCCTTTAATCTAGCCTCTGCGACCGACCGTGACTCATCCACCTTTATGACTCTGGCTCGGAGGCCTCTGCTGTCCTGCTCCCGCCAGCCGTTGAATGTCTCTTTGGGCCTGCGGCGATGGACTCCGTTGCTGCGGTTCCACTGGTTGCTCCGCGTCTGCAGCTGTGTGTGAGTCTGTGGGTCGAACACAGGCGCAGAGTCCCCAATCAGCGCACCGTCAGACCGGGAGGCGGGGCACGACTGGGTTTTTTGACTGAACAGGGCCACTACGCCGTTCTGAAGGGGCTGTGACGGCAGTCCGGAAGGGGGTAGGGCGGGCAGGAGAGGGGGCAGTCCAGCAGCAGGTTTAAGGGCAGAGCTCGAGGCAGGTTGGATTTGGAGGCGGGCTGTGTGGTAGGCAGACTGGCCCTCGATGTTTGTGAGTCGCAAACAGGGCTGTATTGGACTGTCCCGGCCTCGGGGCACTGATCTGCTGAAGACAAACACCGGTCTGGGGTTAAGTCGAGGCTCCGGGGGTCGCACTCCCTGTATCCTGGGGTGAAACCGCTCACAGATCCACGACGGATGCACGTCCCGCTTCCTGTGCGGCCTCTTCCTCTTCTTTTTGACGGCAGGTCTGGCGTTCTTGTTGGCCTGTTTCAGCAAGGCCTGGGTGAGCGGCAGAGACATGCAGGAGCGGTAATTGTAAACGTCTTTGCTCCTCAGGATGGTGGGTCTGTGGCCCTCGTCCCGAAGCTCCTGGAGGAAACTGAGAAGGTCGTCTGTGCTGGAAAGCTCCCTTGATTTGGGGCTGAGGATGTGGAGAGCATCCAGGATGACATCGTCTCCAGCTGAAGAGACCCGCGACCAGGAGTGGATCACCCTCTGCTCCTCATTGGCAAAGGCCGCAGGTCGCCTGACCAGAGGGCCTTGCACTTCCATCTTCATCAGCTGTGAAGAAAAGCAGAACAGCATGAGATTTTTTACCATATTAGTTGATTATTATCTTTAAAAATACACACACATTTAATTAACCACTACAGCCAGTGCACAGAGCAGGACCTCATGATCAGATATTTTTCAAAATGATTGGACATCTGTTCCCAGAGAAATTCACAAATTTGTCAATTACAAAATTATACAACCTTAAAGATCATAAACACCAGTGACGTGCGGTGAAGTTTGTGATTGGGGGGGGGCACTAACTTTATAAGTTAGATTTACCATAATTATTCTAATAAAATAGCATTAAATCGCAAATGCAATAATGTCCACAAACTTATCAAACAACATCTTTGAGAAGCACAAGTGCGAGAGACAGAGAGACGCGAGGAGAGAGAGAGAGTGAGAGAGAGAGACGCGAGGAACATGAACAAGAATTCAAACGCAGAACTTTTGAGCAGTGTTCAAATTGGTGTTTTTCGGGATAAGCATCTATTTGGTCCATTTTCAAGATTGACAAATTACTCCCATGCGGCCGGACTAACCTCGTAAGTCCGGTGGCAGTCTCCCAGTCTATATTAATTCTTGCTTTGATTGAAAGCCCAGTTTAGAAAACAATCTTCAATCAAATCATTCATTTTCCAGCAAAAGAAATAGCACCAATAGGACCGATTGTAAGCAACTCTGGTATGAACTTCATGATCACTTTTGCCCCCTTTGGTGAGGCTCAAATACTGCCTACCTCAAGGAAAGGTTTTTCAGTTTACTTTTTGCAAAAAAGGATTAGAGCCATCAGGGTGAGGGGAATCAGGCAAATTTGGGAAAAGACAGATTCATTAACCTTGTTCTACGTGGTGCTAAATAGTCTACAGTCTGTGGGTCCAAGTCTTCACCTGCGGCTGGGATACTTTTCCTTGCATCTATGCCAGCAGTTTTTTTTTTTTTACACTGAAACTTGACTTTATCAGTAAAAGTGACAAAGCGTCTACACGAAGAGATAAAAGCATGTAGTTCTAGCACCGGCCAGTAGGGGACAGTGGAACTTTACAACATGACACACGGGACCACAATCTGTACAACCACTTCCTCAACAACATCCTCCTTGGGCCACCCCAAAGAACCAACATCATTTTGTTTGGACGAACTAAGGAGTAGCGTTTGAGACACGAAACGTTCGTGGCTCATGCACATGTCCAAATGCACGAGCGGGGAAGTCAGAATAATTTTTATTGCCACGTAAGTAACAAACAAAAGTTACCACTTGGAAATTGTTTTGGCAAGTGGGGGTTATAGCGGCAGAAAATTCACACAGCTGTGAAACAGCCCTCGCTGCGCAGAGTATCTGTTCTGTTCCACTGGAGGCCGTTTCTCCACACTTTCACCTCCCGATAAACCAGGGGTGTCAAACTCATTTTGGTCCGGGGGCCACATACAACCTAATCTGATCTCAAGTGGGCCGGACCAGGAGATGCTCTACAAAAATATCCAAAAACGGTACAAAGTCCAACTTTTTGTGCACATAAACACATTTATTTAAAACTTCCTTTAAAACACTGTCCTTTAATACTCAGTTTTCTGTTACAAACTTAAATGTAACAGTGAGTTTTCCATAGTACAAATAATGTAATGTATTTACAATATTACATTGAAAATGGTATTTCACAATATGTATATTAATATTTGTATGTTAGCTTTGTTTTAAGGCTCATTACAGAGAAAACCTGCTCACAAAGGTAAAGTAGGTAGATAGAAAAAAGCACTTAAACACAGCACCTCAGCTTAACCATCTTCAGTGTGGTCAGGTCCATGGTTATGTTATTATCACATTAACCATCTTCAGTGTGGTAAGGTCCATGGTTATGTTATTATCACATTAACCATCTTCAGTGTGGTAAGGTCCATGGTTATGTTATTATCACATTAACCATCTTCAGTGTGGTAAGGTCCATGGTTATGTTATTATCACATTAACCATCTTCAGTGTGGTAAGGTCCATGGTTATGTTATTATCACATTAACCATCTTCAGTGTGGTAAGGTCCATGGTTATGTTATTATCACATTAACCATCTTCAGTGTGGTAAGGTCCATGGTTATGTTATTATCACATTAACCATCTTCAGTGTGGTAAGGTCCATGGTTATGTTATTATCATATTAACCATCTTCAGTGTGGTCAGGTCCATGGTTATGTTATTATCACATTAACCATCTTCAGTGTGGTAAGGTCCATGGTTATGTTATTATCACATTAACCATCTTCAGTGTGGTAAGGTCCATGGTTATGTTATTATCACATTAACCATCTTCAGTGTGGTAAGGTCCATGGTTATGTTATTATCACAGAGAAAGCATCAAACTGACCATGATTCACTTGAAATGAATAAAACAACTTCCATAACGTGATCTATTCTTAACGACTGCAGCAGTGTCTCTGTGTAAAATACAGTCAAATGTCCAAAAATCATCACCTCCATTTGCAGCTTTGTCACTACACCTGTTTTTACCATCGGTACCAGTCCACACTGTCCAACACACCAGCAACAACAGCAGAACCAGCAGCAGAACCAGCAGCAGCGCTCAAAACTCCTCTGATAGTTTCAGTAACACCACAAATGAATATGTGACATCAGTAACATCAGTCTCTTATCAATGGCAACATGTTGGTAAAAGCGAGTGGTTTCTCAGACCATGTCTGCAGCCTGTGAGAGAGTTTTAACAAACTCTCTCTCTCACTGTGCGGCTGCGATGCTAATGCTAATGTTGTTAGCACAGGTAGCTTCCCTTTACAGCAGCAGAACTAACCTCTCGCTCTGGGCACAAACAGACTGCTGTGTCTTCAGGGCCAGACAGGTTTATCTTCTGTTTTCTCAATTCTTCGCTCAAAGTGCCGTATTTTTCGCCGAGTCTTGTAGTTTAAGATGTTATTCCTTCAGCACCGCTCTGGTGGAGCCACTACAGACGCACTGGACTCACCCCTGAGCGAGGCGCTGCGGCGTCGCGTCGCGGAGCCTCGCGTCGCGGAGCGGAGCCTCGCGTCGCCTCGCCTCGCGTCGCCTCGCGGAGCGGCTTTTTAAAATGTAACTTTATTATATTTTTACATAAATGAGCCACGGGCCGTGTCAAATCTCTTGGCGGGCCGGTTCCGGCCCGCGGGCCGTATGAATGACACCCCTGCGATAAACCGTCTGTATAAACTAAAGGCCAATCCGATACCCAAAGCCATCGTTCTACTGTCGCAGCGTCTCTGTGTAAACAGCACATAAAAATACATTTGTTGACTGTTCAAAGGAGGAAAACATGTAGTTTGTATTTTATTGTAGATTTTAGATTATTTTCAGTATCTTACATTGTTCAATCACAGCTTTTTCTGTCTTGAAATGAGAAATAAAATGTGGGACAGATCAGAACCTCCTCAAAAGAGAAAGTCTCTCTGACTAAAGCCTGAACAAATCCTAGAGTGTGTGGCTCCGAGAATGGGAAGAGGAGGAGAGGTGGGAACAGTGCAGAAACCACAGACAGATGAACACATTAGGTGCTCAACATTAGCACTGGTGGCAACATGAAAGTTTTAATAGTAGTTTTAATATAACTCGTTTACAACTGAAGCCATTTCACGCTCTGTGATTAACTATGACTGAGGAGAGGAGGCGTGTTGTCCTAACACCGTCCCAGAGAAAATCTCTCATCGTCCCCGCCTCCATTTTTATAGTCACCGTGACAACGAGACTATGTTAGTCTCGAGCCCTTCATCTGACATTGCTCTTGTATTGCTATCGTTTCTGTTTAATAAGTGAAGGTGGTCAGAAGTCCAAGTCTTATAAAAAAAAAAAAATGTATATTATGTATGAATAGTAAGTAATCAATCTTTATTTATATAGCACCTTTCACAGACCAGAGTCACAAAGCGCTTTACAATTGTTGTGGGCATTGGTCTAACTCCACACAAGAGGCGCATGCCAGACCTATTGTACATTATTATTGTTTTCAGTGGTAGGGGAAACTAGAGCACCCGTAAGAAACTTACGCAGACACGAGTCGAACATGCAAACGTCATACAGAAAGGCCTGGAGGTGAAATTGAACCCAGGACCTTCCACTGCACTACAGCATCGCCCACAAATAGGGTTGGGCAACGTTTAAACGTTAGAACTTGTAGCATAACAATTAGTGCTGTCAGTTAAGGGTGTTAACTGTATTAACACAAGCCCATTTTAAAACAACAATTATAGTGTGTATGTAACTTGCGTGGGTCACCCTACACACGCTGCTGCGGCGAGACGTTCCTATTCAAAAGAGTTTGCACAGACGTAAGGTACCACAGGCTACTAAAGCACATGTGCTCATTGCTGATTTACCTTTTTTATGCATTTGTTAATTGAATGGGGCCGAGTAAATACACCAGATTTTAGTCCCACAAATGCACTCGCAAACACACTCATTCAACCCTCACCTTTTGTACGTGTTTTTTGTGGTAGGGGATAGATATAGATATATAGATATTTATTATATGACTTGGATCGTACACGCGCTCTGATTGGTTGATTTGCGGTCTGAGATTTTCCCATCTCAGACCGTTACCATGACAATTGGTCTGAACAGCACATTTGATATCTTTCCACGGACCTTTACCATGACAAACCCACAGCCCATATCACACAAAACCAAGTCGGACATGAACATACTTATATCTCACAAATATCTCAAAAGCATTGGTAAAGACACAGACGAGAGTCATATAATAAAGCATTTATTAACCTTGCTTGCTCGGTCTGTACAGAGAAATATTTCATACAGACCTCGCGCTCGGTTAATAAGCAGTTATATATATATATATATATATATATACACATACATACATAACTATTGACTGTAGATTCACACCCAGGCTGTGTAAGGGCTATTTGACAAATAAGGAGAGTGGTGGGGTGCTGGGCCAAATGACCCGGCATCCACAGTCCGGACCTGAACCCAATCCATATAGTTTTGGGGCTGGACCACAGAGTGAA